CCATAGAAAAAAAACTACTTTTGACACATTTCAATGGTTTTTGTTATGACGAATTGACAGATTGTCCCTTTTTTGTTTATCACCCATTCTCCATATTGGTTTGTTTTCTAAAAATATAAGCTGTGCATTCCTCTAGACTCTTTGTAATCATGTGTCAGCACCATCACAGTGAATCATTTGAAACATTTACCCCACACCTGAGCACTGCACCGTTTTGAGCTGTATGTCATTCATTTGACCTATGCATCACACCCACTGTATGCGCACTCTCAGCGTGCGAACAGTCTATCCTGACTGTCCATGGGAGAAGAAAAACTGACAGATTTTCAATAAGCAGTGGATTCATGAAGATAAGAAAGAGATGGTAATATACAGCTTTCCTTGGATAGTTAACACTGACTTTCATGCGCAATGACTTGTTATATCTCTAACTCACCATTTGAAACATGAATTGTTCTGAAATCTTCAAAAAGTCTTTTAAAACTTTTAAATGACCATTCATTTTTTTTAGATCCAGAGTTTTTGAGTCCTCAAGGGTCTTTTTTCTACTTGAGTTATACTTGACTAAATGGCAGATTAATTTGTTGTTTTATTGTAAATCATCATTCATTCATTTTCCTTCGGCTTAGTCTTTTATTTATCAGCGGTCACCACAGCGGAATGAACCACTAACTATTCCGGAATATATTTAATACAGCTAATACCCTTTCACCTGCAACCCAGTACTGGGCAACACCCATACACTCTCACATTCACACACACACACACACAGTGTGTTTTAGGTTTTTAAGATCACACACACAGGTTTTTAAGATCATTCAGAATGAGTTTGTAAATGTTTAATAAACTATTGAAATCAACATTTTTATATTGTATTATTCAGGCATATACTAATTGTTAACTAATATGTTAATAAATGCTTTACTAACTTAACATGCAGTTTTGTGACCTAATCTAAAGTGAGGAATAACAGGAGTGTCAATACAACATAAATCTGCATAAAACAACAACAACAATAAATTAATTTAACAATATAAAAGATGCAATGTTTAAACTTTACAGTGATTTTATTTTTGATAAGGTTGCAACGATTTATTTTTCATTTGAAGTGCAGTTTATTTGTGTATCTTTAAATGAATAGGAATGAATAATGTCATTTTTCCTGTTTAGAATTTAACTGAGCCTTTATCTGTCATTTATAAGGGATTTATAAAGCATGAATAGTCCCCACTTTAGATTAGGTCACAAAACTGGATGAAGTTAATCAAGCATTTATTAAAGTACATAGTAACCATTAATACATGCCTGAATAATAAGACATATACACGTTGATTTCAATAGTTTATTAATCATTTACTAACTCATTCTGAATGATCCTAAAAACCCTACTCTCTTACTAACTACTCTTAAGTACAAATGGTTTGCAAAAAATACGATACTTAAGTAATGAAATTTAGTAATGAAAAATAAATAATTAACAAAGTATGAAAGTACAATTATTAAGCACATTTTAAATATGTTTTTAAGTCAAGAATAGAGCATTTGTAGCTGCAGTTATAAACTGCTTACTAACGCTTATTAATGTAGAGTTAATGCTTAACAGATAATTAATTAACTACTTGCTGCTTAATAAATGATTTATAGTCTGTAGTTATTATAAAGTGTTACCGATTTAGGATATGAGAGACTTGCTTTGTTTACCAAATAAATGGATCTAGATGGATTTGCATTGTAAACATAAAGTAAATTTTTTTTATTTTTTTATTTCTTATATTACCTTTTTGTTATGATACTCCCAAAATAATTCTGCATAAATCCACAGATTTTTACTAAATTCTCAGCAGAAATAGCAACAAATTTCAGCAGATTCTCTCTGGCCCTACTAATAACCTTAACTTTTTCGAATTTGATATAAACAGAAGTGGCTACTGAGAATTTTTCTAGAAGGCAACAACAAACACAAATTTGAGTTTACAAATAATAAAAAAAAAACTTTTGGTTTTGTTTGTTTTTTTGTAGTGGTTTATTATAACACAGATAACATATTCAATTATTTTAATTACTTTCAACAGTGTTTTATGAACATTCAAATGGTTTTCTTTAAAATGATATCAAACTTTTTCATTTGGAATTCTTGAATTTGGGTAGGCAAAATCCTGGCGGGAACCCCATAATAGCACTTGACTTTAAGACGTTAAAGCACATTGATAAAATAAGTTTCAAAGCGGCATTCTTTCTTGTGCTTTGTATAATGCAATAATGTTCACCTTTTGTAAAGCTGCCTTGAAACAATAATTATTGTGAAAAGCGCTACACAAACAAAACTTGAATTGAATTGAACATGTCATAACATCATAACAATTTCTCAGAATGCTTCACATTTTTTCTTTGTAAAATGTAAAGAATTATTTCAGACAAAAGCCATTGCAAATGTTTTAAATGAGCTTATTCCCCATAAGCAACACCACTTAGGCTTTAGTGAACTAGACGGTTGCCTGGGAAACCACCAGCAGGGGTGCCAATGAGCACTCCCTGCCCCGCCGTGGCCTCACCGAGCTATATCCAGCTGCAGAACTGATGACCCACACACGGTTCAGGACACACAATCCCAGCCACACGATCCAGGCAGGGGTGAACCATATGGCTAATGATGGAAATCATTTTCTTGTTTAATGGTGGCTAACTCTTTTCACCACCTAATTTTCTTGATGTCGATTTAAACCTGAGCTATCACATGAAGGAGTGTCTATATGCATTGAAGAAAATGATTCATTACATTACCTGCATTTTTTTAAAAAGTAAGTGGTTGCAAATAAATAACATTACAAAATAGAAACATTACAAAATTTAATTTGTTTTATTAAATTCAACCCATATAAGTTGTTTGCTACCACTTACCTTAAAACATTTAGTAAATTCAAAGATTTTGTTTTTTTCAGTGTGATTTTTATGTACTATATGTATTAACAATACATAACATACTGATAATCAGATATTGAGTTTGATTGTTTGTTTGTTTGCACTGCTGTAGAAATTGTACTGTCGATCCAGCAGGTAACATTATTATTTCTAACATAGCGCAGTCATTGAAAAATATTGGCATCATTTCTATTTAAGAGAAAGTTATTAATAGAATTATAGTGAGCTTGTCTAGGGTGACCAAATGTCTAGAAACGGCCGTGCCCATAAGTACTGTGTTGAAAAAAGGGAGAAATTTCTAGCTCAAAACGGTGTTGGTAACACTGTTCATAAACTCCATGTGATAATGGCAAGTAAATTGCAAGGCGCTGAATGTTGTGACTCCTGTGGCTTGTTTGTCACAGTTAGACTTTCCAGTTTCCTCTAAGCTGTCACACAAGCGGTGGTGTCTCCTGTCCAACACATCTGACCCCCCGTCTGCACTCCTATGAGGCCAGCCTCAGTAATTCGCCTTCTGACAAGCCGGTTTGATCTGCACGTCAGCTTTAGCTGAAATGTTCTTGCACGCAAGCGTTTGGTGGTTCATCTTTAAAACTGTTTTATTTAACACTTGTTTAAAAAAAATTATAACCTTGTGCTGATGTTCAAAGACATTTTGTCACCTTAAAATTATAAGGTTCTATCTGACATGTTTTATTGTTCATAGTTTACATTTGTAAGACTTTTTTATTTAAGAAACAAATGTTACACACATACTGTTTGCTATAGAATGCAAAAACTTTGAAGCTCAATATCTCAAAATCATTCAGAATGCAAATAGAACCTTATAAACCCAAGGTGACGATTTTACACAGGTTTAAAAGGTCTGAAAAGCAACTGATTGGTAAATAATATTTAATCTATCTATTCATTCATACATACAGCAGAGTGAACCGCCAACTATTCCAGCGTATGTTTTAGGCAGTGGATGCCCTTCCAGCTGCAACCCAGTACTGGGAAACACCCATACACCCTTGCATTCACACACTACTGCCAATTTTGTTTACCCAGTTCACTTATAGTACATGTCATTGGACTATGGGGGAAACCTGAGCACCCAGAGGAAACCCATGCGATTAGTCTAATTATTTTGTTAGTTTTTCACATTAAAGGCCCTTACTTAAGGTAAAATAACTGACACTGATTTGAGGTTAACACTGTTAAGTTACTTACAATGTAATGTTTTAAAAGCATTGCCGACAACGTGAACTGACTGGAGTGCCAATTGCGGAACTAGTAATTTCAAAAATGTAGAAATTCCCATTATCAATCATTGTTTATATAAATGATTGGTAAATTGAATAAATGTTTGCCTAATTGTCCAAGATGCGTTTGCTTCAGTGCCAGAACAAGATGAACCAATTACACTCAAAACACAAGCATCCCTTCTGTGTGCTCGTTCAACGCTCTCTCATGAAAATGTGTAACCTTTTGATTTAGTGGCTAACTCGGATGAATTTTTATGATGTCATTTATACAATTTAATATGACTCGCTCATCCACAATGAGGGATGGGATTTGGTGCCACACCTCCTTTTAAACCTTGTACATTTTGATATGACTGAACTCGTATGAATTAGCCCCTAAACTGACAAAACCTAAAATAGTTACGTTTCCTTGTGAAATCATGCTGTTTTTTTTTTTTCCACTATCATCTGCTCTGTAGCTATGCACGTTAAAAATGGTCATCAGTAAGGTTTATTTATTTTAACATGATCTTCTAAGAATCATCAGCTAACCATAAACGGATCTAAACAGAGCTCTTTGTGCTTTGTGAATAGTTTGTGGGTGTCAGCATGTTTGATGAAATCATACTTCTATTTAGGTTTTTTATTCATATCGGGGTTTATTTTTACCCGCTTGAGCAACAAATGTAAAGACTTTCTCTATGAGAGCATTAATGCTAGAGCCTTCACTCTTTGGCATTAAGGACTGAGTCTTATTTATATACTGTTTTCTGAAGTATTAAGAATATCATTAAGAAATTGCATACTTCATAAAGCACCTGATTAGTACCTTAATAGTGTTCTGTCTCTTTCTAGATAAATCATGGATGCACACTCCAGAAGCACTGGCCAAGCATTTTATACCATACAATGCCAAGGTATGTGTTACGAGCCACTTTTTCCACTGAAGATTTTCACTGAAGGTTTACTGTCGATGAGTTGTTACTATTTTGTTGATGCATGCTTTTGTATTTATGATTTTACTACCTTTGGGAACTTGAACTTTACATTAAAAGTTTGGTTTTAACACTGGATTTTGTAAAATCTTTTTGTAATATCACTTAGCACTGATTAATATTAAACATTAATAAACAACAATTAATATTAACCAAGCTTTGATTTAGGGTCAGTTGTGTGCACTTATGCTTAGTGTACTTTGATTTTTAGCTATACTAAAGGCATTGTTAAAGTGTTACTCACCCACTTACTTAATTGCTTATGTAATTACTTATTTACAGACCGTCTTATGTTCACCAAGCCTGCATGTGTTTGATCATATATATTATATATTATATCAAAAGCATTATTAATTTAAATATTTAAATTCAAGAAATATGTTTTCTCTTCCAATATGTTTTTAATGGTTCCAATGGTCTGAAACTTAATTCTTTAGTCTTTAATGTCACATGATCCTATAGAAGTCAATCTTATATGGTTCATATTAGTATCATTGGTGTGCTGCTTAATATTTAGAGAAACTGATGTTAATTTTGTCAATTAAATCTAATTTAAACAAGTCAAATTAATTTAAACTAATCCTAAATGTTTGAAATGTAGTTTCTGCAATTTTATTTATATGAGCAATATCACACAAGTGCAATATGGCTGTAAATACGGCAATATACAGCCATATTGCACTGCTACGAGTGTGATATCATGTTTATACAACAGTTCAATGGTATAATCCTTTTTAGAAAAAAGAAAATCAAAGATGGACAGTCTCAAAAACCTTTTGGAAGAGAAACTACTTTCTTCTGCCATTCATGCACATCTGCAGCTGATGCAGAACAACAGAAACCAATGTTATTACACCAACATGCCTTTAGAGCTAGTGTTTGAATGATTTTCAAGCATAATATCTCAAAGGTGATGACAAAACATGTAATTTTGCTCGCATTTTAAGATCATAATAGCTAGCAACATGCTGTACGTCTTTCTGAAATTTTTTTTTTTTTTTTAATGGGCACTAACCTTATAAAGAAACTGCATAGCTGCAATCTAAACAATTACATTCTCAACTAAAAAAAGCCTCAAAAGTACATTATTTTGTTCAACAGCAGCAATATTTTTCAAACTGTAGAGTATTATATAGTGTATATGTAGTGTATGTATATATATATATATATATATATATGTGTGTGTGTGTGTGTGTGTGTGTGTGTGTGTGTGTGTGTGTTTGTGTGTGTTATTTTGCTCATGTAGAGCAACATCTCTTGCACTGTCACAATGAATAGTTTGACTTGATTTGAAATAATTTGTGTTCTAAGAATGTGTTTTTGGATGAAGAGGTCAATTTTGATTTATGTGTGTATATATATATATATATATATATATATATATATATATGTGTGTATATATATATATGTGTGTATATATATATATATATATATATATATGTGTGTGTGTGTGTGTGTGTGTGTGTGTGTGTGTGTGTGTGTGTGTGTGTGTGTGTGTGCGCGCAGAGGTCTGTAAAGAGACACACTAAATGGATAGATCAATGCAAATACTGCATCAGTTTTCACAGTCCTATGTCTGCACAGTCCTTTCATAAAACAATGAATTTGTTTGTGTCTCTTTTGCTGTTCATCAAACATCTTGTGGGGAAAGAGCATCTCGTATACACTGTCGTTGTTGTTTTACGCTCCGTTTCACCAAAGGCTCATCTTCTGTTGGGGGCTGAGAAGCTGTCTACTCTTCTAAGATGTCTTACTGAATCCCTCACAAAAACAAAAGCATTTTGAGTTGCTGAGTTTTCAGCTGTGCTTGTCCGCCTTTGGGAATGAGGAGAGAATAGACAAAGAAAGTGAATTAAAGATGGAAAAATGGTATTCTGCCAGTGTAGCAGGTGATAGATGAGCGAAGGCTCAATGTGTTTGGTGGGAAAAAACGCCTCCGAACAGACCAGCAGGGAACGGTCATGAGGAACAAGAGACTCTCCACCCAGTGTAATGTAGTGTATCTATCACTCCTGCCTCGCTTTCTGTCCTAGCGAGCTCACTTGCCCTTGAGTGTGGACGGCATCCATCATAACTACGTGCTACAGACACGTTTATGGAGTTGTGTTTGTTTAAAGGTATAGTTCACCCAAAAAATGAAAACTCTGTTATCATTTACTCATCCTGCGCTTGTTCGAGGTTCCTTCTAGTGTTGAATACAAAGGAAGATTTTTTTTGATGAATGTTGCAAACTGGTAGCCTATGACCTGCATAGTATTTTTTCCTACTATGCAAGACCGTAGCTATGTTTCCATCCACCTATTTTTTTATTTTATTTTGGAATATTGCATTGAGGATTATGAAAGTGAAAAGATTTGCATACATTTTGAAATTGCACATAAAAGCTAATGCACACAACTTGTCTAAATTGAGTTGGATAAACTTTTTCCAAAAATTGCATAGATCTTGTCCCTCTAAACGCCACTGCGCATTCATTGCATTTTGTCTTCATCTCTTTAGGCGTGATTTATTATATCTTATTCACTTTATTCTTTGCGTACAAGCAGGCGCAGCCTTTCGAATCTTTTTGGCTCGAGACTTCCGATCTCATTCACTTCCATTCTTTTTTTATACGTTAAAAAAAGCTTATGCTGCTTGATGTTACAAACTGAAATTTTCTTATTGCATTATTCTGCTTTGTCTGTATAGCCATGCCAACACTTGTTTGTAGAGCCAGTAGTTTGACCATTTTCTGCAGTTTATTATTCCTAGTCATCTCTCCCACTGGGAACTAAATCGGAAGTTCTAAAACAATCACAAAAACGAGTGCACTTTCGCATTGAAGAATAAAGTCATTAAGGAAACAGCAGCAAATTCCATGTTTCTATGTTGCCAGTTGTTACATTTCATGGATGTTATGTGGTGTTTTGCGTTCATACTGTTTTGCGTTCTCGTCTCTCTCTCCCACTGTTTATCCAACACTCTTTTTTAAATGTGCAACCATTGGTTGAAAGGCCTGTCAATCACCATCGTGAGTCAGTCGGCGCACCAATCAGGAGCTGGTCCGCATAGTATAAAAGCCATGCGCTTGCGCTGTTCTCCAGGAGCGCTTGGCTCACAGCCACACTCCTCACTTCTGTCGGCCGGCCTGTTTACTTGTGTTTGTTTGCTTAGTTTGGTTTCTGTTGCTGTGTTCTAGTTTTCTCTCGATTAAGTAAGCGATTTATTAGATAAGCTTGTGCGGCTCAATTTAGTATCTATTGCGAAGTTAAATGAACTTTATGAGAAAATATTATATAAGGTCTTGTTTTGCTAATGACTAGCAGTTTGTACTTTACGAGAACTCTAGTAATGTGAACAGCTTAGTATCTCTATTTGTTAGTTTATGGAGGCATTACCACATGTGTAATTATGTTTTGAAGTAGTTATAAAGTTTTGTTAAGCGACGTGCTGAAGATTACGGTTTTGTTTCTGCATTTTTCTTAAGACACTGCTCGCTGCAGAGCCACTTGAGCTCCAGCTAGGGGGTGCTTGAGCTCCTCCTCCTGTAAGCTATTTTAATGCGTACACTCACCCCACCCCTAACCTCAATCCCCAGTGACATCACTTATAGAAGTAGTGCAAGGAAGGCGGAGCTGGAGCTCAAGCTCCCCCTTGCTGGAGCTCTGCTCTGCCTAAGTGGCTCTGCAGTGAGCACCATTTGTTTTGTTTTTTTCGTTAGTTAGTTTAGTGGGTTGAGGTTTAGTTAGATATTGTTTTATTTATTTATTTATTTATTCATTTATTCATTCATTTTGGCAACATTCCTGTTTTTTTTTTTATTCGATTATTTAAAATTACATTTAAATTAAATTTCCTATATTAATTGCTTGAAATTCCCTGTTAAATAAATACTTACTTTTTGTTTCACTTAACAAGCGGTTGTGTCTTCTCCTTTTTCATCCAGCATCATTAGACTCACAGATTTCATCCATTTAATATCTTAATAACTTAAACACGTAACACCAGTTCATCAATAAGTGAGGATTTAGTACTCTTTGATTCATTGCATGGAAACGGTGCTTTATAGACAAAAGTTTATTGCAATATTCCACTTAAGTCATAGCTACTGGCTATCAGTTTCCAACATTCTTTAAAGTATCTTCTTTTGTGTTCAACAGAAAATGGGAAAACAGAAAAAAAGGTTTGGAGCTGCTTGGTTTCACAAATGTAGTTTTGTTTTCACTCTTGGTTGAACGGTCTCTTAAACTCAAATGTAAACTCTAGTTTGGACGATAAAGCTTTTTTTGTCCCTTCAGAAGGCTTTCTCTGATAAAATATTTTCAGCTGTCTGTATAATGATTAGGACTAATCATGAATGCATTACTTCCAATACTTTCTTAGAAATGTGCAGACGAGAAGTAATAACGGAGTCGGAGAAATTAGCATTCGGAAAGGCGCAGGAACCTTTTAAAGATTCAATTTGTTGGCTCATCAGACAAAATAAATGTTTTTGCGATGAATGAAAATAGGTCAGACAGAAAAATCTTTATCTGAATCTTTTTGGCCACTGTCAAATTATTGTTGATTTCTTCATTTCTGTGGAGTGGCCATTAGAGTGGCGGAGTAATGGTAAGGTGTAAGGCTTTAGGATGTTTTGTTAAATCAGGCATTGCAGCGTCTAGACAGACTTTTGGCCACAAGCACTGGGTAAAGGTTAATAGCGCCATCTGTTGGAAGCTAAATGGAGTGTTCATGCTGTTTTCCGTAAGAAACTAGCTCCAGTTTGTTCCAGATTAGAGAATGCTTTTAGCAATCATCAAAGCCTTTTAATGAAATTAACTTCATAAATGAACCCGCTAAATGAAGAGTATCTGCACAATAAATGAAAGCACTGATGTGTTTGCTTGTGGGTCAGTTTAACTACAGTGCATGTCCTTAAGTGCTCTCCTTCGTGTGTGGATTATATAACTTACTAACCTTTTTTATATTTATATTTTTTTCTGTAAAAATGTACAATGTCCATGCCAAAAACTAATATACAGTACTTAGTAGACAATAATTAATATGGTGATTTAAATTTTATTAAATTCTAATAAAATTTTTGCATGCATTATTTATACAAAATAAAACAATGTAAGGCAATACATTTTTTGTAAATAAATAGACAAAACGATTCAACAAAAAATATCTCCATGTAAAAAAATATTTTGCTCTATTTACAATTAGTGTTTAAAAGAAAGAAATAAACAAATCCCATTTCATACAGTATGACTCGTATGTGTCTCCCACAGTTTCTAGGAAATACAGAAGTTGATCAACCTAAAGGTACAGAGGTGGTGAAAGATGCCGTCAGAAAGCTCAAGGTTAGTTACTGCCGCTTCAGATTGCCTGAACACTGTTGGCACCTTCATTTCTCTTGAGAGGATGCAGTATCTGCACCTTCCAGCAGCTTTAGACCTTCAGTCCTAGATCATTTTACCTATTTGAAAATACATAGAGAAACTTTTATTTTCAGCTATCCACTCTCAATTTTACAATATCTTATCATCACATGGAATTTTGATTAAATACAATTAATTAAAAAATGTGGTTTAAAACTGTTTATAAATGGCTCCTTTTCTGTTTTTAAAAGGAATTTAAGTTGATTTTGTTTTGTGGTGCCCTTTAATTTTCCTTCTGTTAATATGCGGTGACTTGTGTGTTAAGCAGAAAAAATGTTCAATACACGTCTTCTTTTTCTCTCTCTCTCTTTTTCTCTTTCTTTCTTTTCTTCAAAGTTTCAGAGACATATTAAGAAGTCAGAGGGACAGAAGCTTCCAAAAGTGGAATTACAGATCTCCATCTACGGAGTAAAAATATTAGATCCTAAATCAAAAGTACGTGCAAAGCTTAACTGGATTCGAGAAACAAATGGTGTCTCACAAGATGTTCTTTTTTTATTATTTATTTATTTTTGTAATTAAGTCACATTTTTCGCATTAAGTAATAAAGGGTACAATTGAAAATGAACTCTTCATAGACTGTATAGAGATAATTGTGGGACTAATGGCCCTTTAAGAAGTACAGTTGAAGTCAGAATTATTAGCCCCCCTTTGAATTTTTTATATATATATATATATATATTTCCCAAATTATGTTTAACAGAGCAATGAAATGTTCATAGGATGTCTGATAATATTTTTTTCTTCTGGAGAAAGTCTTATTTGTTTTATTTCAGCTAGTATAAAAGCAGTTTTTAATTTTTTACACAACATTTTAAGGATAAAATTATTATCCCCTTTAAGCTATATATATTTTTTTTAATAGTCTACAAAACAAACCATCATTATACAATAACTTGCGTAATTACCCTAACCTGCCTAGTTAACCTAATTAACCTAGTTAAGCCTTTAAATGTCACTAAGTTGTGTTGAAGTGTCTTAAAAATATCTAGTAAAATATTATAGATTGTCATCATGCCAAAGATAAAATAAATCAGTTATTATGAGTTATTAAAACTATAATGTTTAGAAATGTGCTGAAATAATCTTTCCTTTATACAGAAATTGGAGAAAAAATATATAAAGGGCTAATAATTCTGACTACAACTTTGTGTACACTTTCTGGTTATCAAACATTCGTGAATCATGTTTTTAGATGATATGATCTACTTCACCTGTAGGAACCTGCAAATCTTGTAGTTTAAATAGAATTAGACTGATTCAAAAATGTATCCAAATATTTTTGTGCACTGCTATGCATGCATATCCATCTCAAGACCCCATGTTTTTCCATGACTTCTTTTCTAATCTTGTTTTCTTATTCAAAGGAAGTGCAGTACAACTGTCAGCTCCACCGGATATCCTTCTGTGCAGATGATAAGACAGACAAAAGGATATTCACATTCATTTGTAAAGATTCAGAGTCCAACAAACATCTCTGCTATGTGTTTGACAGTGAAAAATGTGTAAGACCACAGACAGCATGTCATAATATTAGCCCGAATTCTTCTTTGAGAAATGATTCAATCATTCTTAAGTATTGTGTTAAACCTTTTTTCAATTAAATACATACCTAAAGGGGTCATATTATGTGTTAAACATTCACTTTGTATTTATTTAGTGCATAATGATGCAAGAAAAAATGTCTAGAAAGTTACAAACACAACACAGACTGTTCCAAAGGGTGTTATTTTCTATATTAGTAAACACTGTTTCTGAACTCCCTCGACCAACTCTTTTATTGATAATGAACACATCCCAATACTCCAAATTTAGGCAAATAGTAGAGCTGTGTTACTTATTTGTTGCTATGCGGTTACTTATTTGAGATATGTTTTTTTCAAATGTGATGCAATTTCTCTCCCAACTATTTATGTTCACAGACTTGATGGACAGTTCACCCAAAATTAATTTGAAACCTGTTTAACTTCGTTATACTTTTGAATTCTGTAAAAAAAATATTTAAAAAAAATAAAAAAAACAGAAGATATCAGTATCACAAAAAGCTTGGTTTCTGATCAAAAATCCCAAAACACAAAGTCTCATCTTTCAAAATCCATCCATTTTATTTAACTATAAGGAGTGATAGTAACTGTGATCATCCTTTTCCATTACATTTAAATATAGAATTAAATAAAATAAATTTAATGTCTCAATAAAAGTCAGTATTTCTGTGGAAAGACATTAATTTAGTGTCCAGAGCCTTTTACAGAAATAATTTTAATATAGTTCCATTATAAATTACTGTCATATATAAAATACTTCACTTAAACCATAATTGATGAACTTTTGTAGTTATGCGGTTACTTATTTGAGAAAACAGAAGATATCAGTAAAAATAAATGTTGAATATTATACGTTACCTGACAAAAGTCTTCAGGTTTTAGGCTTGGCTTCCAAGCTTTTTCTAAATATCTTCTTTTGTGTCTGACAGAAAGAAAAGGAACTTGAACAGGTTTGGAAAATATGAGTAAATTGTGATCTATCCATTTTAATCTACATTATGTCAACTTGCATGGTTTGTTTTTGACATTAAACTTTTGTGTAAAAGTTATTTTTCTTTTTTAATGTTCATCTAGCTTTTGTTATGTGTGCTTTGTGCCTGTGCATTTAGAAAAATGCATATATATATATATATATATATATATATATATTTTTTTTTTTTTTTTTTTTTTTTTTTTTTTTATTAACTGACAAGGGTTTAAAATGCATGCAGGCTTTTTTATTTATTTATTTATTTATTCATTCATTTTTTTTTTTTTATTATTATTATCTTTTATTTATTTTTATTTATTTATTAATTTATTTAAAAAGTTAGTTAGTTAGTTAGTTAGTTAGTTAGTTAGTTAGTTAGTTAGTTAGTTAGTTAGTTAGTTAGTTGGTTAGTTGGTTAGTTAGTTAGATTTTTCTTTGGAGTAACTCATGAACAAGGTTTAAAGCTGTAAAAGTACTGGTATCAACAGCTTATTTGTATTTATAAATGCATGAATGTTTCTTCCATTCCTACAGTATGGAATTATAAATTTGTTAGGCTTTTTTAAGCTTAAACCTCACAAACAAATTCATTGAACGTCTCAGACCTTTATTACATCTTGTAAGAAAAGCATAATATGACCCCAAAGACAATAGGTCAAAGAAAACACGGCTATTGCTGATACTAGGAAAATGATCCATTTATCTGTTGATTCCAGGCAGAAGAGATCACTTTGACCATCGGTCAAGCATTTGACTTGGCATACAAGAAGTTTCTGGAGTCCGGGGGAAAAGACGTAGAGACGAGGAAACAGATAGGTGGTCTACAGAAAAGAGTGAGTGTTATGTACAGTTAGAGAATACAATAGCACTGTTTTACTAGGGGTGTAATGGTGCACTTGGTTTGCAGTTTGGTACATTTGTACAATTTTAATTGCACATGCAAGACCTGATTTGTGCCCTTTAGTTGTATATATTTTCATATTGACACATCAATGTTAATCCTTAAATCCCAAGTTCAGTCTTTTGGTCTCTCCTGTTTCAGCTGATGAATAAATAAATCCACATTATATTGCTACCTCCAATTCAGGAATCACAAAAAGCTTGGTTTCTGATCAAAAATCCCAAAACACAAAGTCTCATCTTTCAAAATCCATCCATTTTATTTAACTATAAGGAGTGATAGTAACTGTGATCATCCTTTTCCATTACATTTTAATATAGAATTAAATAAAATAAATTTAATGTCTCAATAAAAGTCAGTATCTCTGTGGAAAGACATCAATTTAGTGTCCAGAGCTTTTTACAGAAATAATGTTAATATAGTTCCATTATATATTACTGTCATATATAAAATACTTCACTTAAACCATAATTAATGAACATTCTGGATGCACTTGGTTGAAAACCAAAACATGCTTGTTATAATTATTATTATTATTAACATAATTTTGTTACATGTTTTACATTTAACTCAGTGACTTGGAAAATACTGTTGTTAAAACACCAGGCAATTAAATAAGGACATTTTATTGAGAGGCTTCAATTTACCAGCATTGCCATGACAACACAGTTGTGCTATATTTTAAACAGCAGGAATGAAATGCCCTGTCAGCAACTTTGCTTTTTTCCTGTGGGTATGTGCAGTTCATGCATTGATAAGTTTACGGGTTCATGAACAGCATAGAGTGGAATATTGAGCTGTTTTGAACTTTGACTGCAGTGTGCACTCCTCTGCTTTTGCATTTTGGCCAAAGCAACAGCAAACTGGCCAGAAAGTCAGTGCATCCTTACTAAAAATACATCGTAATCCAAATATTGCTATGTAGTGAATAGTTGTTTTGTATGTACTGTTATACCCCTAGATGTTACTCTCCGCACTGATTAACATTTGTCATTAATATATTGAAATCTCTCTTCACAGATTCAAGATCTTGAAACTGAAAATGTAGAGTTGAAGAAGCAGTTACAAGTGTTAGAGGAGCAGCTGATGATTGCTCAAGTTCCTCCTGTAAGCACTGCATGCAGTTCTTATCTGCTGAATGCATCTAATTGCATTCACCATTATTTTAATTGGCTGCATATAAAACACAGATCAGCTATGCCCAAAGACATTCTCTAAACTCATGAGCTTTCTCTTTTAAAGCAAAAGCGCTGTAGTAAAACTAAAACAGTAGTGCTGACGAGCTCTGATCTTTCCACAGCTTCTTCACATTAACTCTTCTAATGAGGCCTATATGCTTCAGAGACCCTCATCTCTCTTCTGGTGTCACAACGTGACCTCGTTCTCTTGTCTCGAAATCTCTTCTGTCACACTAACGCCAATGAGCTCACCTGACTCTAACCTCTCTGCTGGTCTTCTGACTCCTCCACCTACTAAACCAGCTCTGTCCAAGCCTCCCGGCGGAGCCAGTGTTCCTCGCCATTCTGTTAAGCACTTTCTGTTTACTCTGTTTCTGTTTGAGGCTTCAGTGTGTTTTTGCTAAGGGTACAAGTTCTGCCTTCAGATTTTAAAGGCTTGTTCACACAGCCTCAACAAACACCAGTGCTAGATTCCAGTGCTTGTTGGATCAGTGTTTTCACAGTGTTGGCATTGGTTTACGACTGTGTGAACTAGCCTTGATGAGTTTTTGATTGTCTGTAATTTGGCATATAGTGAACCATTCTATTTAAAAACCAATACAAAATTATATTATCATTTGAGAATAGACTGACTCTGAATATTTATGGATTCTATTCTATATTTTACAATTGTTATAAGTGATTTAAAAATGATAATAAAAACATATTTATTTGAATAATTACACAATAAAATGTGCACCAGTTCTAGTTTAGTATTGGATTGTACTATTATTAATTATTTTGATATATATGTATATATATATATATACACACACACACACTTACACACTCACTTACCGGCCACTTTATTAGGTACACCTGTCCAACTGCTCGTTAACAAAAATTTCTAATCAGTCAATCAGATGGCAACAAGTCGATACAATTAGGCATGTAGACATGGTCAAGACGATCTGCTACAGTTCAATCAGAGCATCAGAATGGGGATAAAAGGTGATTTAAGTGACTTTGAACGTGGCATGGTTGTTGGTGCCAGACGGGCTGGTCTGAGTATTTGAGAAACTGCTGATCTACTGGGATTTTCATGCACAAACATCTCTAGGGTTTACAGAGAATGGTCCTAAAGAGAGAAAATATCCAGTGAGCGGCAGTTCAATGGACGCAAATGCCTTGTTGATGCTAGAGGTCAGAGGAAAATGGCCAGACTGGTTCCAGCTAATAGAAAGGCAACAGTAACTTGAATAACTGCTAGTTACAACCGAGGTATGGAGAAGAGCATCTCTGAACGCACAACACATCCAACCTTGAGGTGAATGGGCTACAGCAGTAGTAGACTCCACTGGGTGCCTCTCCTGTCAGCTAAGAAGAGGAAACTGAAGCTACAATTTACACAGACTCACCAAAATTGGACAATAGAAGATTGGAAAAACTGTCCTGGTCTGATGAGTCTCGATTTCTGCTGTGACTTAAGGATGGTAGGGTTCGAATTTGGCATCAACAACATCAAAGCATGGATCCATCCTGCCTTGTATCAACGGTTCAGGCTGGTGGTGGTGTAATGGTGGATATTTTCTTGGCACACTTTGGGCCCATTAGTACGAATTGAGCATTGTGTCATTGCCACAGTCTACAGAATATTGTTGCTGACCACGTCTATCCCTTTATGTCCAAATTGTACCCATTTTCTGATGGCTACTTCCAGCAGGATAACGCGCCATGTCACAAAGCACAAATCATCTCAGACTGGCAATGAGTTCACTGTACTCAAATGGCTCCCAAAGTCTCAAGATCTCAATCTTTTAGAGCACGTTAGGGATGTACTGGAATGGGAGATTCACGATTTCCAGTACCTGGTTGAATCTATGTCACAAAGGATTAAGGCATATCTGAAGGCAAAAGGTGGTTCCAACCAGTACTATTAAGGTGTACCTAATAAAGTGGTGTGTGTGTGTGTGTGTGTGTGTGTGTGTGTGTGTGTGTGTGTGTGTGTGTATGTATATATATTAGTATGTACAGTAAGTCTCACTTAATCTTTTGACTAATAATATTCTATATTCAAATATATTCAAATATATTTTTGGATGATTTAATCTTCAGAATGCTGATGTACTTCATGCTTTATTCACATTTGCAGGGAAACAGCATGTCTTCAAAAAGCCCCACAGACATATTTGACATGGTTCCGTTTTCTCCAATGACTCCATTGGTTCCGTTACCAGCAAGTAATGGCTCGGCCCCTCCACCCCCGGCAAGACCTACAGAGATTAGTGAGTTCTCTTTCTTTTTCTTTGCCAGCATTTGAGAAATGTTGCTTATTCCAGTTGCATAGGCAGTCGTTTCTCTTTCATGTATTAGAGAACTTCGAATCAGTGGTCTGTAAAATGAAGGAAAACAAAAACCTCCCTTTTGTTCTTCAGGGAGAGACCTGTTCGGTGCAGAGCCATTTGACCCTTTCACCTGCGGGGCGGCTGACTTTCCTCCAGACATCCAGTCTAAGCTGGATGAGATGCAGGTGACTGCATGTCTGTGAATTATTAGCAAATGGACTGGTGTGAATGAGCAGCTAATGGAGCTGACGGTACGCACTGCTGCAGCTGTGAGGATTCTTTCAGTTCAGAACGGACACCCATATGATGATTTTTATTTTGCTTGATGTTTATTTGGATTTGTCTTGGGAGTGCTAAATGTGGATGAAAAGTTTCAAGAGAAGTGCTAAGTTTGCTTTTTGTGAAGTATGCTTTGATCCCGCTCACATGCAGAAAATCTTGCAAACAGAGCAGTTACTGTACATGAAACATTTATATCATTTGCCAGTTTTGCTTAACTAACAACCTCAATTTTCCGTCTTTTTGCTCTCTTTCTGCTTGCAGCGGCAAAGATGGTTTGTATTTTAAGACAGTTTAATTATTTTTTCCAGATGGAATATAGCTTAAATCAAATCTGGCATGCTAAGCAATTTTAAAGGGAAGGTTCATCCAAAAAAAAGATGTAATTAAATGTATCCCCCTCATGTTCACCCTTTCTTAAATAGGCTATATGTAAGATTTGATTTATTTATTATTTAGATATTTTTACTTTTATTTTATTCTTATTATTTAGTAATTTATATATATTTATCAGCACACCATATGGCACAGGTGTCAAACTTAGTTTCTGGAGGGCCACAGCTCTGCACAGTTTAGTTCCAACCCTTATTAAACACACCTGATGTAACTAATTGAGTCCTTCGGTCTTGTTTGAAACCTCCAGGTAAGTGTATTGAAGCAGGGTTGGAACTAAACTGTGCAGGGCTACGGCCCTCCAGGAACTGTTTTTGACACCCCTGCTCTACATTATCAGAAATAAAGGTATGATAGTTGTCACTGTGGGGGTAACTTTTTTAAAGCCCCATATTAATAACTCAAGGGTACATATTGGTACCTAAAAAGTACAGAAGTCTTCATTTGTAGGTACTAATATATACTTTTGAGGTACCAATATGGACCCTTCAAGTACAAAAGTGTACCTTTTGAAAAGGTACCACCCCAGTGACAACTCTCATACCTTTATTTCTGAGAGTGTATAGTATATTTTGTACGATTCAATTTTTATTGTTAGTTATGAGTATATGACAGTTTTCAAAGTAAAACTACATATCATTGTTTGCATCATCTTAGTTATTGTGTACTCGACTAATCAATCAGTTATAATGAGGTAACATTTTAATCTCTGTCTGTATGTTAGAGCATTTATCAGTCAGGACTATTTGCTTTCAAAACTCTTGTACATAAAGAGAAACTTTTGTACTTTTTATTAAAGTAAGATTAAAACAAAGCAAAGCACTTAAGCACTTAATTAATCCTTTTAATATTTTAATAGTAAAGGTATAGTCAACCACTGGCTAATTTCCTTTTCTGCAGTTCACAGTATGGCCCGTGGTTAACAAGTGCTATTAAATTTTACGTATAGCCCCTGGTCATTTCCATTTCATGAAAACAAATGGTGACCGGTGACCGGATTCCATAAGTTATGTGCATAGATATATTATTGATTAACCCTTTAGCAGGTGAAGTATCATATATGACAGCTATATTAACATCAATTACAATATTATCGCAAAAATTACTCAAACTTATTGAATACAAAATTATACAATAAAGTTCAAAAATCTTGTAATAACTCCCAGTAACTTCAAATTGATTATTTCAATGCGTGCCCTAAAAGCATTGAGGTAAAAAATATGAAGAAAAAAGATTTGATTTGTTGTTATTGATAAGTCATAAATATTCATGTATTGATAACTATGCTTTTTCAAAGCAATCTCATGGCAGTTCAAATTTTCGATGTAGTGGATAATTTGTATTAATTTGTACAAGCTCATCCATACATTTTAGTATGATTTGCTGATCCCCTAATGACACTGTGTCCTAACAACACGTGACATCTGCGACGGCAATGTATGAAATTTAAATATTAAGAAATGCTTTTTGTTTCTGTAACGTTAATGGTTTCTGTAAACTACTGTGAAATGGATCACCTCAGTATCAGTATACATGCTTTATTCAGTGTTAAATGCTACAAAAGTGAGTTTAAATACTATTTCACATGACAGTTACTACTAAAAGCAGCAGCTGTACAGTTTACTTCAGATCTTGAAAATGAAATAACTAGCAGAAGGTTTGAAAATGAAAACTGTTATCTAGTGCAAAACGACAAACGACATCACTCACTCAGTAGCCTATTAATAATGTTAAAAAGGGGGTTAATATGTGTTACTAAGATTAAAAGCCTTTACCATTTAGTTGAGTGCAGTGGCTGGTATTTAAATGCTACTGTCATATGTTGCGTTTGGTGTAAACAGCCACACTGCTTGTCGCTTTGTGAGTTGTTACTGTGCATTCACACTGAAGGCAGCAAGAGCGTCAAAGTAGCAGGAAGTCATTCATTTTCAATGGGAGTCGGCAGCAATAAGCGATAAGGAGTGGTGTGGTGCCTCTTCGCCGGTGTGGACGGCGAGGAGAGTTGAAATCAAGGCCCAATCCCATTACTATTTTTGTACCCCTTCCTCTTGGCCCTTAAAACAGAGTGTGAAAGGGAAGGGCTTCAAAATTCACCCCTAAGAATTGGGACAGCACCAAAGCACACGTCATCGCGATCTCTTACTTCATATGAGATCAGAAGATCACGACTGCTGTAGTAAATCCAGTTGTGTTAGTTTTTGATGTTTATCTTCAGGAAATCACTAAAGGAATATATTATGTTATCATAACGATCTAATGTGGCAATAAGATTGTAACTGTCCTGTGTATTTACACTGTGGCCATATTCATCTATGTAAACACACCAAAAATAACATTAGCAGACACTGTAAAAAGCTCATTCCCAGACACTAGACTCTTCTGACTGGGGATTTGAGTGACATCGAGTGTCAGAATGTTGTAGAACTGCTATACAGGAGTTATGATTATGGATTATAGATCTTGAAATTAAGCGTTTTTTATTTTAGCGAGTTTTTTTTTAAAGCATGACAGTAAAACCTGAACGCGGTTATGAATATATCAAAACATATGCTTGTTTGTTGTAAAAATTCAAAATAATGACGAAAAATACTAATTTGTGGATCTCCTTACTTCCCGGTGCTACTATCCTGCTATTGTGGCAGGTGTATTCTGGGATATTTTCTTACCCCTTGGTTTTGAATGTGGTCCTGAACAATCTTTGTTTGAAGGGCTATTCTCCTCTTACACTTAGCCCTACGCCTTTATGCTAAAGAGAATTGGGACACCCCTACCGCTTCATGGGGATGCGCAAAACGAGGGGTAAAGGGAAGGGCTAAGGGGTAGAATTGGGATTGGGCCCAAGTCAACTTTATGGAAATGAGCTATGACTAGTGGCTAGCAATCGGAGTGTAGAAGTCCACTGCTTGAGAGCATTCCAGAGAACACAGTCTTGTGAACTTTGGTTTCGACTGCAGTTGCTTTCAAGGGTTTGACTATTGCGGTTGCAGGATTTCTACTTAGTTATGTTTTCTTACAGGGACATAAATAAATAAAAAAATTTAAAAGTTACTGGCGAGTTTATGGGCATTAGTGTAAAAAAAATTTTTTACAGTGGGAATCTCAGGCTAACTATAAACACAATACTAAACAGTAACGGCATTGCTGCTTCAATATTTCAGATGTATGAACTTATTGAATAAGTGGAGCAAAGTCACAGCACACGCAACAACTTGATCTTTCATAGTTAAATTAATTTGATAACTATTTTATGCTAGAAAGCATGTTTTTATGCGGGAATGCAGTTTACTCTCTCACACCGGATCTGTGAAGGCAGACAGCATTGTCACCAGGGTGGCCAGAGCTAACTTTAACGTTCTCGCCGCCTTCTGTGTTAATGCACAGTTAAGGTACAGTGTCAGGGGGTAGGGTTTGGGGGCATGCCTACTTTTAAAAAGCTTACTTTTTTATTTGAATGAAATCAAACGAATTATCCACTTGTCTAATAATGGTGTGATCAGGAAATGCATGGTTTGAAATATGTTGTCTTATAAATGGTAGCTATGCACATATCTTATGTTGTGCCATTTCCGAAGGTTGATGGCCTCTGGTCACCATTCACTTTCATTGTGTTGCAAAAGAAAGCAACGTTAGCATTTTTCTGAATGTCTCATTTTGTGTTTTGTGGACAACAAAGAAAATCACAAAGGTTTCAAAACATTTTTCATTGAAATATCAATGTAAATCTCAAAGATTAAGTATGTATAGAAGAGAGAGTTGAAGTATGGTGTCATTTTACACTGTTTATATAGCCTTGTTCTTAATAATCAGAATAGTTTAAATGTGAGTAGCATGTTGGTGAAAGTGAATATTTCTAAAAGATACGTGCATGTATTTCACTGTTTGATCAGTTAGTGAAGGTAATGCTAAATAATGTCCGTTTCTCTCTTTTTCAGGAGGGGTTCAAAATGGGACTAACAGTAGAGGGCACTGTCTTCTCCCTGGATCCACTAGAAGGTCGCTGCTGATGCCAAGAAGAAAGTTTTGTCACTTTCATGTTAAACCATTTGTATTAAAGTGCCAAACTCGGGTTTACAGTCAAGATGTCTTATCTCATGTTTTTTTATGTATTTGCATTTTGAATTTGGTTTACAAAAAATATATTGGGAAATCCGAAGCAGTAGATGACTATTTTTGTAAGAACTAAAACATAAAACTGAACGAGTAATGTACCTGTAGTTTTAACTGCCCTTGCTTGTACAGACGATGAAGGATGTAGAAAGTATGTCCAGTTGCACAGTCTGTGTTTGTTTTCATAACAGTTATTAATCTCAGATTCTTTAAGCTTGTGTTACACATTACAAACTCTTTGGCATATCGCAGTTAATAAAACTCAGAAAAGGGAGAGTTTCCTGTACATTGTTTTATAACTTCATTTTTAACACTTATCGTACGTCATAATCACACTCCTTTTGTATTAGATCACTTGTAAAATGATAATATTGTTTTTATTTGTAGCAATGGATCCATTTAAAACAGTATTTTTTAACTAAAAGCGGTGTCATGAATGGCAGAACTGGACGATTTCCACAATAACACGTACTTGTAATGCAGTTTGATTTTATATTATATATTTTAGTATACTCTTGCACAAGGAAGCACTTTGGAAGAGCTCTGTTCATGTATTATTGTTAATTCTGTTTGTAAGCATTATTTTAGCCTTTGCTGTTGTAGTCATTAAAAGAAAACAGTATATACTCTGAGTATTTTTGTGTCATTTTTTTATTTTTATTTTATCTGCATTAAATGAGACCCTGGATCTTTTTCCCTCTAGAAATCTTAACTTCAAAAGTAATTTATTTCAAGTGGAAGACCATTTTGTTTAATATCAGTGTAAAAGTATGGTAGTATTACAGTAAAATAATCATGATTTACTAGAATGCTATTTTGATTTCTATGCAAAAAAACGTGTGATTTTTATTTATTTTATTTTCAAATATAAAGGGCACCTATATTAAAAATTATCTTTTGTAAGCTGTTTGGACAGAACTGTTTGTAGTGTGTCCACTTTCATATTGGAGTGATCTGAACCCAACAAGTGTTTTTTTTTATTATTATTATTTTTTTTTTATTTCCTGACGTTATAATAGAGATCCAAATCCAAGTGACTTTGAGGCTATATATAAAAAACTATATATATATATATATATATATATATATATATATATATATATATATAACTGGTTATATCTAACCACACATCCTATTCTTATGCCCCATATAGTGATGCAGATGTCTCAAAGCATGAAATGGACAAATCTAAACTTGTTATTATAAAAACAAATATAAATATGCATATAATAAATAATACGTTTAATAATAATAACATTATAATAAAAATTCTAATTGTCATGAAAAACTGAAAAAGCCCCCTGAGATGAAGGCATGTATGGTACTAGTAATATATATATATATATATATATATATATATATATATATATATATATATATATATATATATATATATATATATATATATATATATATATATATATATTGTAGAAAATTAATTATTTTTGTAATCCTTTATTTTTTTATTTATGTAAAGATATGTGTGTATTGCTGTACATCCTGCATGTAACAAAGCAATATGTACGCAGTTTTGACATGCATAGGCGCAAAACTAACACACTCTGTGCTGGAATTTTGACCAGCTTTAACTTTGTCAATGGTGCAGCCTATTTTAGTTTCTCAAAACACATCCTCCTTTATAAACCAGCACACCCATGAGTCCACAAAGTAGCGCAAAAATATTAATATTTGAAACAATGTGGCGCAAAACGTGAAAATTAGGGTTGCGTAGAATCGCAAAACACGTCTTGCACCTTATTGCACTGGGTGTGTGATAGTGCCCTATCACTGACTGCTGTTTATCTGATGAAAGGCATGAGAAGCAGACACACACATAAGATCGGTGGGCAGGGAGAAGCAGTTCATTTGAATTTAAAGCCACAGGCTACAAAAACAGCTACATATTCTTCGGACACTAAATGGGCAGATTCTACATTATATATATAATCTGATGGGTATTTTGAGCTGAAGCTTTACAGACACTTTCTGGAGACACCAAAGTTAGATCTTTCATCTTGTAAAAGAGGTAATATAGGTGCCCTTTAAAAATAATTTGTCTGTGTAATTGTCTGTGTTGTTATAAGTGTGTCTTCCTGAAAAGCTCCACATGATGCTCACATTGCTGCTCAGGTAAGCTGCTTTTTGTCATCCTTTGAATGTTCAATTCAATTCAATTCAATTCAGCTTTATTTGTATAGCGCTTTTACAATGTAGATTGTGTCAAAGCAGCTTCACATAAATGGTCATAGTAACTGGAACAGTGTGGTTCAGGTTTTAGTGTTTAAGTTCAGTTCAGTTCAGTTTAGCTCTGTTCAGTGTGATTTAATCATTACTGAGAGTTCAAACACTGAAGAGCAAATTCATCGATGCGTAGCTCTACCAATCCTGAACCATGCGAGGCAGTGGCGACAGCGGAGAGGGAAAAAAAACTTCACCTGATGGGAGTGAAGAAAAAAAACCTTGAGAGAACCAGACTCAGTTGGGCACGACCATTTTAATTTCTCCGCTGGCCAAAAGTCTTGTGCAGAACTTCAATCGCCGTGGTTTATGCTGGAAGATGGCCTCAATGAAGACTCGTCTGTCCCTGGAGCGTCGCTGGAATCAGACTCATGTTCTCCACTCCCCACGACCATTGTTGACCAATGAATGTTCAACGAAAGTGTTTTTCCATTCATAGTGCTACACTGAGATGTGTCATATTTCAATCAGTTCTGTAATCGTGGAAAGCTTATCTTAGGAATGTACAATAAATAACAATATGACATTCAAACAGGAGTTGTAAATTGAGGATTTGCCGTATTTAATTCTCCCTCATAAAACAATGCTAACTTAAAGCAGTCATTGCAATCTTAGACATTTTCTAGTCACATGATTTACAACTTTACTTAATATTGAACATACAGAAAGGACAAAATGTTTTCAAATTGTGTTATCCCTGCCACTTCTTTGTAATTAAGAAAAAATAAATATAATAAAAATATAAAACATTCAAGTTTTAACAAAACTGAAACAAATCAACTTATAGAGGATATAATGAAGCAAAGCAATATCTTACATTTTATTCATTAAAATATATTTTCATGCTTAAAAGGTGATGGAGAAAACAAGCAATTTTGTAAGAGAAAAAAAGGTTTTGATTCATTCATTAAAATGGTACTGATCATATGTTTAATTTGCAAAAAAGAAAATACATGAGAGTAGCTTCAAAGCCAAACAAAATGACTTAAAAGCTGTCTAAAGTAGGCTAAAATAATGATAAAAGGAGAAAAAGTCAGAATTATAGGAATACCTGCATGCTTTAGAAAATATGACATCACAAATTGTCCGAACTGGAGGTTTTTAAGCTACATCAGAGTTTACTATATTGTGCCTTTTACCTTTGCAAAAGCCTTATATAAAAATATAAAACCAATCGCTAGAGGGAATACTTGATTTACATAATGGAAACGAGCAATAATAATGCACCTTTTAGAAATTAGAGTCTCAGATGCATTTAATTGAATTTTATTTTCATTTCTTTACCCTGCTTTGAAACTTTTGCTGAAAGAGTTGTACAGCTCATTTCACAATTCCCATACAGCAAGTCTGCTGTCAGTTTTTGCTAGTTTATAGAAACGAGGTAGCTTGCACTGTTCTGTAAAATTTCATCTTTAATTGTAAACTCATGTTGTAATTAACTACAAGGTGATCGAACAAGAGTACAGATTTGGGAGTCAAAAATATTCATTTTAACGTAAACTTCCTCTATAGCACCATTTTTGTGTAACAATAATACAAAAACAAAAATATTGTCATGAAAAAAAGGCAAATTCAGATGATTTTAATTGCAACTAGCGTTGGTACAGTGTGTACGATCATTACGGTGTTGTTAGCAATTGCCATCTCAATTTAAAACAGCAGTTGATGGATAGTCTTGTAGAGTAAAATTCAGTTAATTGAATTTATTTCAAGGGCTCAATCTGGAAAAAACCTTGTTGAGTGGTTGATTTCAGGAATCACTTGGCAGGCACAATAAATATCTTGCTACAGGGGCCAGAAAAGTCCAATGCTCTGTATGTACAAGGCTGATCTTTTCAGCAGTCACTCACGAGAGTCCCAGGAATCTCTTCAATGCGTCTCCACTTCGTGATTTACAAGAAGCACACAGGCCCAATATCAATTCCAAACTCCTGATCTGAACCTCCAATGTCCACTGGTGCAATATCCACAATAGGTAGTCTTGCTGTTTTCTGGGTCCTGTATTCAAACACTGTCTTGCCCCAATTCCCATTTGCTTGCTGTAAAAAGATGAACATAGACATTTAAATGTGAGATCACTTGTAATTCTGAAATTTTAGATGTGATTTCCTAATGCAACTGTAGGTTGTAATTTGTTTTTGTCCTATGACTTTGTTCCAAAAACTAATGAGCTGTGCATTTTAGAGAAATGTAAAATGTTGTGTATATGAGATCTTGATCTCAATGGGTTTTTATCTGGTTAAATAAAGAAACGTATATATAAATCGCACACCCAGAAAACCTTGTTGTAAACCTGTGACCATTGACATCTATAGAAGGAAAATCAAATGCTACTCTAAGAATGTGAATTATCATATGCATTTGTTTATATGGCAAAACATGTATTTTTCACCAAGAAGGTCCATACACATTCCAAAGGTAGACTTTGGGAGTTTTATGATGTGGTCACATGTTGATTGGTCAGTTGTCTCAGTTTTTGGCCTTTGGTCACATGGTCGAGAAAGATACAAAATAGGTGGTAAACTTTGCTCTGGTCTCTTTTCCTGCTCTGCTCATCTCCTTTGGACAAGTATTTTTGTATCACAATTAAAACCCCACAGAGAAGCGAGATCAGCCATTGGTGGCAGACTGTGAAAATATAACTAAGGCCTCTCTCGCACGCTTTTAGTGTCATGCACCCACGCTCTTTCTGCTTTCCCTTGACATTTGTCAGGGACAGTGCTGCACGCATCAGTTTCCCACATTCGTTGGAAGTTAAACCCCAAATTGAGAGGTAATTAAAAGATTCAACTTAAGTCATGTTCATGGTGTGAAAAACTATGAAAATGTCCATTGTTATATTAGACTTTCCAATAGCGATTTTAAAACATTTAATATAGGAAGTCCTCGGCTATGCATAGGCTATCAGAAATTTATTGTACATAGTTTTACGTTATGAAACGCAGTCTTGAATTTACAAACAGTCGCCAAGTACCAGAGAACAGATGTAACACATTGATCAAATTTAGTTCAGTCAAATTCAGTCACACTCATGTAAAAGTAATATTCAACTCGTTTAGTTTTGTCTTCGTTCATTTTTGTTTCCAGTCGTGACATAAAGCACGAGTCTTCAAACAGAAAACAGAATAGTTTAACTAATTACTACTTTTTTTGTCTTTTCCATAGTGACAGTTAGTACATAATATTTCACTATATTTTGCAAGATAGTTGTATTCAGTTTTTATAGGATTAAAGTGTAATTTAAAGACCTACGTAAGTAAACTAGGAAGGTTAGACTAATTAGTCAAGTTATTGTATAACTGGTTTGTTGAGTAAACAATCAAAAAATATACATATTTCTTAAGGAGGCTAATAATACTGATCTTAATTTATTATAATTTTTTAAAATTATTATTAAAAACTACTTTTATTTAAGACAAACTCTAGGAAATAAGACTTATTATGTCTCCAAAAAAATATTTTTGTTTTAAAGGAAATACTGTGAAAAGTTCTGTGATTTGTTAAAGATCACTTGGAAAACATTATTTTAAATTAACAGGAGGGCAAAAAAAATGTACTTCAACTGTACCTGTAAACTTTAACAGGTGCAGTTGAAGTACAGGTTATTTGTGCTTTGATACAATTGAATTTTGAACAACATGATACAAAGTTATTAAACTCAAACTAATATCCATGTTAATTTATGGAAGTGTTAAAGTTATTTAATTAGCTTCGGCATAAGACTGCAGAAGGATGGTTTGACTTGACATGTATAGTTCTTCACCATCACAGTGATAATGTTTTAGTCATTCTGCAAAATTACAGTATGAATTGCCATAATAATAATAATAATAATAATAATAATAATAATAATAATAATAATAATTCCTTACATTTATATAGCGCTTTTCTGGGAACTCAGAACGATTTAAACATGGGGGGGGGGATCTCCTCATCCACCCCAGTGTGCAGCATCCACCTGGATGACGCAACAGCAGCCATTTTATGCCAGACCGCACACCACACAGCAGCTGATTGGTGGTGAGGAGTAATTAAGCCAATTATGATATGGGGATGGTTAGGAGGCCATGATGGACTGAGGTCAGTGGGCAAATTTGGCCAGGATGTTGGTGTGAAACCTCTACTCTTTTTCGAAGGACATCCTGGGATTTTTAACAGTCCATCTTGGGATTTTTAACAGAGAGTCAGGACCTCGGTTTAACGTGTCCAAAAGACAGCGCTTACTAAGCAGTATATAGAGTCCTTGTCACTATACTGGGGCATTAGGACCCACACAGACCGCAGGTTGGGCGCCCCCTGCTGGCCTCACTAACACTACTTCCGGCAGCAACCTAGCTTTTTCATGTGGTCTCCCATCCAGGTACTGACCAGGCGCAGCCCTGCTTAGCTTCAGTGGGTGATCATGTGAGAGTTGCAGAAAGCTAGCTGCTGGATTTAAAAAAAACATTCTTGCACTATGAAAGTCAAGGGTTTCATATATAAATTTCCAACATTATTTAGTAAATCTTCTTTTGTGTTAAGAAAGTAAATGATTACAGATTTTCATTTTTTGGGAGAACTATTCCTTCAAAGCATAATACTTTATTTACACTCTAAAAAAAAATCTGGGTTGTCATAACCCAATGTTGGATCAAATATGAACAAATCCAGTTATTGGTTTAAAAAAAGTGTAATTTAAATTTAATTGAAAAACTGTTGGGTAAACACTCTTGATTGAAGGTAAACACTAGAACTATAAGATATCCAATTATTGACAAAAAGTTAGAAAATTTCCAAGTAAGTTTTTAAGTTATAAAAAGTATGTGCTGTGTATTTTTAGCAACATAATAAAATAGTGTTTATATGTTATTCTAAAAGCAAGCCTCACTCGCAATTTTCCATTTAGAGTTCTTCTGTCCTAAATACTGTAGTAGACTGTAACGAGCAAGACAGCTCACTAGGTTGTGGCTTTATACAAATGATGTATTGCTGTATACTCACTGAACAACTGTCCTCAAGGACGGTGTATCTAAAGCGGTTATTTCCCTCAGCTTTGAGCTCTAGATCATTTGAAGCTTTGAGGATGACTGCTTTCTTGAGGTTTCCAGTTGATTCATCCTTGTAGCCCACAGTGTTCTTGCAGTGGTAAGTGATAGTCTGTGATGCCTCTTTTGAGAGTAGACGGATGAAAGTCATCTGAACTGTGACAGTGTTGGCTGGCTGGTCTTTGTTCCCATAAGTGAACTTCACAAAGACATACAAAGAAATACAAATCAGACTCATACAGTTCTACGTTGATATGTCTACACTGTAAAACGCAATTTACCTGTTGCTTTAAAATTGAAAAGTTGAATACCTAAAAAGCTGTAACTTGTAACTTAGAACTGTTCACTTTACTTCATGCACATATTTCATTTACTTTTTTTCTAATGTGGTTTTAAGGTAAAGGGGTCTACTGATGTTAGTTAACTAATTCACAACTAATTTGTTATTTTTTTACAGTGTATTACTTCTTTACATGTCACATTCTCCGCACTATCACAAGTGCTAGAACATTAGTTGACTAAATAAATAAATAAACTTATATTAGATTGGCTGGACATGCTTACATATGTTCCTCCATTCATATTAGCTCCAAACCACACAGGTTTATTTCCTGGGGAGCTCCACCATGACTTCCGGGGGATGCTGGATGGAATTGCGGAGATGCATGTTTCTCCGGTGTCCATGTTGCAATAGATTTTAATGGCGTCCTCTGCACTGCCTTGGTTTGGATCTACCCAGTATTCACCTGAGACGTAGAGATGAAACATTTGAGGATTTTCTTAACTGTTGATATTTTGATAATTGTTGGAAAATATTGTTGGAAAGTTTTGATTCTTATTCAAAATAGCAGCATCAGCTCATTTTGCTAAGAAGCTTTTGTTTATGATTTTTTTTTCCAGTCAATCAGTGATCTTCAGTGCTTAGACATCTTTTTTTTTTGCCATAAGTACAGTCCCCTTGAAACCTCAAATTGGTAATAAATAGTACTAGGTGAAGTACTAACTATACACATTTGGGGAAAACAAAACAAAATATTAACCATACCAAGCATTATTACCAGCCGTACGAGCAACAGTTGTGATTTACATGCCTGTGCAATACTCTAAAGTTAACTTACCACTCTTTTTTTGAGGGTAGCACTGTTTCAAGTCCTCGCAAGTTCTGGCAGGATGTTTTCTGCTACCATCAGGGCTACGCATGTTATCAATCTGGCTGCTCAGAGCCTTTAAAGTAGCCTGAACTCCAGGATCAGCCTGGAACACACTTGTAGAGTTGCTCATGGGAAGAGCCTCATCCTGATTATTGTCAGGGGGAGAAGGACCACTGTCAAAATCATGTGCTCCACCAAAAAGATCATCCACAGCTGCAGTGGGTGGTCCAGCAGGGCCAGGAGGGCCAGGTGGGCCTGGCTCACCAGGTGGTCCCTAAGCATGAGAACAGGGTGAACGTGAAAAAAAAAATGAGTGGGCAAAGTTTTAATGTTATTTGAGCTATTTGGAAACAAGTAACTTGCCTCTGGTCCAATATCCCCACTAGATCCTCTTGAACCAGGAGGTCCCATTGGTCCAGGTTGCCCAATGTAGCCTTCCTTTCCTGGTGGCCCAATAGGTCCAGGAGGTCCCTGTGAGACAAATTATTTAAATGTTGTCAGTCACTTTTTGACTAGTAATAAATCAGTTGCATTAGGGTTAGGCTAATTAAGCTGGAGACATACTCTTTGTCCACTTGGACCAACAATGCCTGTGGCCCCTTGTTCTCCAGTTGTGCCCTAAAAAAGGCAATTTGTCAATTATTCATTTGACATGCTTATATTGGTTAGTGTTATATATCACAATATTTAGACTGTGTTTAAATATTTTCTTTTAGTTTCTCTTTAAGTTTTTTTTTAATCTCTCTAAAAACTTACAGGTGATCCAGGAAGACCTTGTAAGCCTGCAAATCCTCTATGACCCTTCTGTCCTCTTTCCCCATGGTCACCAATATCACCCTTATCTCCCCTTGGTCCTTGTGGTCCCTTAAAAAGACATTTTAAAATGAGGGAGTAGTTGTGTTGTTTTTTTCTGCAAATTTTCGGTCAAGTAAGCCATTCTTAATATGTTAAATTGTGTTGTTTTGCTGATTTCTTACTGTGAGTCCTCGTTTTCCAGCTGGACCTGGAGGGCCAGAGGGTCCTTTTGAACCCTGTAGAACAACACCAAGAAAAATGTAAGTCAGAATCCTTTAGACATGGCATTCCATTACGTGTTTAATTTATTATATGATTATTTTAAGGAAAATATGAGACGCACAGGCTCTCCTCTCTTTCCAACCCCCCCAGTTGCACCAACAGGACCAGGGGGCCCAGGCTGTCCTACAGTTCCAAGCACACCCTCTGGGCCTGGATCTCCTCGATCACCCTTTAAATTTTAAACAGCTCTGTGAGATTGGCATAAACAGACTGAAATGAAGACATAGACATGGGTCATTCAGTGTTTTTTGTCCTCACCTGGGCTCCTATGACACCTTCTTTTCCTGGTGGGCCATCAGATCCAGCGGGTCCCTGGTAATTAAAATGTTTTTTTTTTTTAATGCATTTAAATATACAACTTTTTATTGTGTAAAGTAGCTGTTAAATTTAATGAACAATTATATTAAGATTTTTTTACATCAGGTCCAGGATCTCCCCGAGGTCCATTAGCACCCGGCACTCCAACAGGGCCAGGTGGTCCTTTGTCTCCAGGGGCTCCTGATGTACCCTGTTTTCCTGGAGGACCCTTTATGAGAAAAAGGAGATAAAGAAGATTAGAAACAGCAAGTAGTCAAGCTTGGACTCAAACCAGTGACCTTCTTGCTGTGAGGCGACAATGCTCACCACTAAGTCACCATTCTGCCCTATCAGTAATCTTGTATTTCAGCATACAACAACTACCTGTTTGAGAACTTTTTTCATAATTTTAAATGTTTTTAATGGATACTAACTGCAGGTCCAGGGAGTCCTGCCATTCCACGCTCTCCTCTTTGACCAGGAAGGCCTACAATTCCTCTTTGCCCTGTTGTTCCTGCAGGACCGGGTGGACCGTCAGGTCCCTAATGGAAATAACAAAGATAATTTTTGTTTGTTTTTAGACTTATTAGTTCAGTTGAGAAATGTCTGATGCGCACTTACTGGTGGTCCATCTTCTCCAGAATCTCCTTTGTCCCCAGGGCCTCCAGCAGGCCCAGGGGGGCCTCTTTCTCCTTGGCGTCCTGGAGGTCCATGGTCTCCTCGAAGTCCAGGTGGACCCTCTTTTCCAGGAAGACCAAGAGGACCTGGTTCACCAATAGGACCCTAAAAAACACAGTTAAGAGTTTAAAGAATATTTTTTTTGATATATAATCTTATTTGTTATTGTGAAACTGTTGTCAATGCAACTTACTGTTGGACCAGGTGGGCCAACCCTTCCAGCAGATCCAGGAAACCCGGTTGGACCCTAAACATTGAGGTATGTTAATTTGCATTTCATTCAAATGGAATTATCCTTGTTATGCATTTAACCACTTACTGGTGCCCCCTGTGTTCCTCTACCACCCTTTGGTCCAGCAACACCAAGTTTACCCTGTAGTTACAGATATTAGAAGGAGATTTCTAATTTGTAATTCAGTATACTAATTAAGATAATTCAGTATCATTTGATTTATTATAGAAACATTTTATCACCTGTGGCCCAGGAGGGCCAGCCAACCCTTGAGGGCCAGGAGATCCAGCATCACCCTTTTGTCCAGGCTCTCCAGGTGGTCCTTTTGGACCAGGCTGACCATCAAGACCCTGTGGTTTTGAAAGTGTGCCAGGTTCATAAAGAATTTAATGATCTGAATATTTGTTGTACATGTATTGTATATAATAATTTAACATGGATATCTGTTACTTTTAAAAATCTCTACTCACAGGAGGTCCGACAAAGCCCACAGCACCTATTGGCCCAGGTTCACCACGGGAACCCTTTTTTAATAGCACAGATATTTGGTATTAAAATAAAATATTTGATTGGCTGACATATTTTTTTCCTTCTTTGTTTGCTAAATATAAACTTACTGGCATTGCTCTTGATCCTTGAGGACCAGGTGGTCCCTTAGGGCCTGGTTCTCCCTGTCAAAACACTACATTTGAATTATGTGGTCTTTAAAAGAAAAGTTTTGCAAGAAAAATTGACAATGACGTAACCCTATACCTTTTCACCACTTGGGCCATGGGGTCCTGCAGGGCCAATTGGACCAGTCAAACCCTACATCATGCAGACAAACATCAGCACAAAAGTGATCCATTCATGCATATCAACCATGAGCAACATACAAAGAATCATTTTGTGTGTTTGCATCTGTGTTCAGGCATGTGTTAACAAGTCTTTCAAAGTTCATCCTCTTTTCATTCTCTAACATGTCGTGTTGCATTTTCAAACTTGATATAGATGTTTTGTCTTTTTCTAGCATTGATTCTTTCAAATCTAAATCACAGAGAGAAATATATTAAACATTATTCTGCTTAAAACTATTTTCTGAAGATAATTTACTAAAATTATACAGTAGCTATTAATACTTTAGCTAATTCATAAAGCAACTTTTAGAATGACCTTATGTGAACCAATTAAGGTTTATTAAAAATCTGAAAATACTTCTGATAATTACCCTTGCACCATCACTTCCCGGGGTGCCTTCTGATCCTTTCTCACCAATAGCTCCCTAAAAATGTAGGAAGAGGTTAATTCAAATATATAGAAATGTCAGTGTACATACTGTAAATCTAAATTCATAACAACTCACTCTGTCTCCTTTTGGACCAGGTGGGCCAGAGATCCCTCTTTCACCTGGCATTCCCTGCAGACCAGGAGGGCCTTGATTGCCCAATGTACCAGTAGGTCCAGGGCTGCCCTGTAAAAAGATTAGCATAATGAGCAATTAGCATTTTAAAAGCATCAATAGCAAATATGATCTTATCTAATTTATTTTCTACCTTTGGGCCATCAGGACCAGGTGCTCCTGGGATACCTTTGGCTCCAGGCAGACCAGCAGGTCCCAACTCTCCTCTCTCTCCAGGGATTCCACGTTCACCCTGTTAAATCATTCAGTTTACCATGAACGATAGATAATGACCACAAAGATGTTTTTACAGAGGTAAAACAAGATCTCACCCTTGGTCCAATTTGGCCAACTGGACCACCCTCACCAGGGATACCCTTAAAAGAGAGAGAGAGAGAGAGAGAGAGAGAGAGAGAGAGAGAGATGTTCCTGGTTAGCATTGTTTTATGCTGTTTCTCCATTGTATTTTCCTAGAAATTCATTATTTAGTTAAAGTTAGTCAATTAACTGCACACCTGATCACCAGGTTTTCCTCCCTCCCCAGGAGCACCTGCTGGTCCAGGCAACCCCTAAAAAACAGGTAAGGTGATTCACATTATATAGGACCTAATAACATAAAAAGAAAATATTTTCATAAGACACAAACTACACACCTGGAAACCGTGCATTCCAGGAGGTCCCTGTTCACCTCGCTCGCCTGCTGTACCCTGAAAATCAAAAAATGAAAACATAGAGTTTTCATAGAGTTGCTCTGAATTTCCTTTTCTAATTGTAATTGCAATAGCATCACAACACACACACTAATGTATAAGTAGGAATGGGACCCTTACATGTGGACCTGGTGGACCAGCTGGGCCTACTTCTCCATCTTTGCCAGGTGGACCCTATAAAAAGTCAAAATTAAAGGATAGAGTTTGTTTTTTTGTAGAACAATATTTAGATTTTTAGTTAGTGGAGCTTGACCTCAAAAACTAAGATAATACACTTTAAAGATGCTATACTGTTGATACAACAATTAATTACTAAGCTGTTCTGAGATAGTTTGTCTTAGTAATGTGAGTAATGCAAATCAATACTTTTGTCAGCTCAATAGCTGTTACTCACCCTTTGCCCAGGAACTCCAGCAGATCCCTGCTCACCTGCCTTTCCTGGATCCCCCTAGAATATTGTCAAAATTTTAAGTTTGTTTTGTTCTGTTTTATGTGCAATACATTTTAAAACAATTTCTAAATACAATTTCTAAGTTCAATTTCCAAATTTCATATTCAAAATCCACTCACACTAAAACCCTTGGGTCCTATTGGTCCCATAGTTCCGATAGGGCCTCTTGTTCCTGTCGACCCTGCAGGCCCTGGACGTCCATCCTCACCTGGAGCACCCTGTAGAATGTGAAAAGTAACATTTATTAATTTTCCTGTTACAGTACATGTGTGGATATTTTATTATGCATGGAAAACATCAGATAAACGTACCAATGGTCCTGGTTTTCCTTCAGCACCCTGAACTCCAGGCGTACCTGTCAAACCCTGTGAAACAAAGGATGCAAAAAAATAACCAGAGCTATATTTTAAACTCAAAATAGCACATTGGCATGGTCAATTTTACTTACTCTTGCTCCTGGTAGACCTGGTTCACCTGTTCTTCCTGGATCACCAGTTGAACCTTTAGGGCCAGAGGTTCCTGAAGTTCCACGGTCTCCTTGTGCACCCTTTGATCCGAAACAAAATAATTTTAGTATTCAGGTAATCATATTCAGCAAGTTAATAGTTTGTATCTAATTTAACTCTCTTATTACCTTTGGACCCTGTAAGCCATCTTGACCTGGAAAGCCTCTGTTTCCAGGTGCCCCCTTTATTAGAGAATAAAAAAAAAACATTGAAAATTGAAGTAATTTTCACTATTTCATACATGTCATTTTGCTGTTGCATAGGCATTAAAATGTAAAACTAGACTCACTCTCTCACCAACAGGTCCAGGTGGGCCAATAGAACCAGGATCTCCTCTGGGTCCACGTTTTCCCTCCTCTCCCTGAGGTCCAAGTACTCCCTGTGATCCTGGTGGACCCTAAAAGCCACAAAGGCAATGTTTGTTTTTCTTGTGTTAAAAAAACCCAACCTCTTAGCTTTTTCACTTAGAAATCATAACCTACAGGTTCTCCTTTAGGTCCAGCCTCTCCTTTAAATCCAGCAACACCTAAATCTCCCTAAACAGAACACACAAACAAGGATGATTTGGTATGTTTTTACTATTATCTCATTTTGAGTTTCCAGATACACATTTACATCAAAAATATAAATGTATATGCCACCGTGTGAATGTAGAAAGCCTTACCAATTGACCTTTGATCCCAGGCTGTCCAGTGCTTCCCTGAGGACCTGGTGGGCCAGTTGGCCCAAGTAGACCAACGGGACCCTGAGGACCAGGAACTCCCTGGATAAAATGATATGTTGTTAAAGACAATATTCAAACTTAATTTATCTAGATTATATATTTTAAATTTGTTGATGTGATTTTTTTTTTACATACCACTGGGCCTTTGGAACCTGGACCACCATCAGTGCCCATAGGGCCCTGAAAATTCCAGAATCATGTTTAGTTGCATGCATAAGATTTATAAATAATTGATGATCGAAGTTTTCGATCTTTCACTGATGTACAAAATGAGAACCAAATATATATATATACTTGTTGTCCTGTTGGTCCAGATCTGCCTTGATGTCCTGTTTCTCCTCTTTGTCCCTGTGGTCCCTCTGGTCCCCTCACACCAGTAGGTCCTGGTTGACCCTGAAAAGCATTTAAGGTAGTGCTGAAGTTTAGCTGACCTATTACAATAGATTAAAATATTTATGTAGATGTACAGATTTGCTTAGCATCACCCACCTTCATGCCTGGAGATCCAGGATAACCTGGGGCACCATTAATTCCCATAGGACCCTTAAATAATTAAACAAATATTAGCATTGTGGAATTCGCAGTTGCTCACACATTTCTGCTAATTTAAAATGTTTTACCATCGGGCCTGGTTTTCCCATGTTTCCTTGACCACCACGTGTACCCTGAAATATAAAGGAAAACATAATATTATTAAGACTTATATTAAAAACAAATAAACACAGCTCTATTTATCAATTTTTTTTGTTTTTGTTTTTTTGTCCCTTACCGCTGCGCCACCTGGACCTGGGCGTCCTCTTTCTCCTGGCATTCCCCTGGGACCCTGCATTAAGCAACAGGCCGTTTTAATTTTGTCAGAATAAGGCTAAACATATTTGTAGCAGGGATTGGAGGGTATCATCTGTTATTTACTGGATTCATATTGATTCATATTGATTCTAATATTTTAAGAAGGCACAGGCAAGAGAGGTTTAATTTTAATTGTGTTGTAGTGTACTTACCATAGGACCAGGAGCACCCATTGGACCAGATCCACCAGATTCACCCTAAAATAATGACAATATAGCATATCACGAAAATGTGTTTAGAAATATGAAATGGTTACAGTACAATTACATTTTAATATGTGTGAGATTATGTCAATCAATCAATCAATATGGAGTACTTTAATTCTGCTCTTTTATTTATTAATATCAATTGTTATGAGGTTTTATTGAGAGGCAATTTAAAATGAGCAGAAGCTGAACCTTGGATCCCAAAGCTCCACGTTCTCCTTTAAGACCATCTGGACCTTGGTGACCCTGAAATGTGAAAAAAAAAGATAATAAGATTATTACTTATACAGATTAATAATCCACCTTTAAAGCTAACAGTAAAAAAATACAGTTTTGCAGCAGTGACATTCTTTGTCTATTCAACACTGTAAAACTAATTTGAGTAAACTGGATGATTTCATGTGAATATGTGACTTGGTTAAGTCAATTTAGCAGTTCTAATTATTTTTTATTTATTTTAATCTTAATTTTAAGTAAAGTCAACTTGTTGCCTTCAAGGCTACATGCTTACCTTTCTAAGTAAAGTGAATAATAAAGCTTTGCAGTGTACAGAGAATAAAAAACAAGCAACTTAGTGATGAATAGCATTTCAACAGTTCACACTTAGCTAATGATGATTGATTATAAGCAAGTTTGGCATGCTGTCCCGGGAGAGAGCCCTGAGCTCAAAAGGTCCTTGAGCCCTGGGCTCCCTCCCATTTGCAGGGCGAGAGGGGAGCCTTGAGCTCAGGTAGATCTCGACAACTCCCCCCTTGATAAGAGCTGATGACTAAAATGAATGCTATGAAGAGATATGCTGCAGGATGAGAGATTGACTGTAGTGCTAAATTTAGGTTGATCAATTCACATGTTGTGCGTTTTTGGAATGTGGGAGAAAACCGGAGGACCCGGGGAAAACCCACGCTAGCACGGGAAGAACATGCAAACTACACACAGAAACAACCGCCGGCCTGTTAAAGGACTGGAACCGGTGACGTTCTTGCTGTGAGGCAACAGCGATAACCACTGGGCCACCGTGCCGCCCTATGGGGAGAAAGGTGAAGAGGTAGGGTTGGAAGGGGGGATTCTTCAAATCGAAGATGACTGTAGTGAAAAACCCTGCCTCTTTATAATGGGTTGGGAATGGCCTGATTGGTGGATCATGCATGCTAATGAAGAACCAGCAGTGTTCAATCATAATCACGTGATCCTCTTGAAATTAGTTTATGAATAAACTTCACTAAATAGGATGCAAAAAAGTTGTAATTGCTTTAATGTCAGTCATGACAATTGTAATTTTGTGTGTGTTTAAATATCTCACTTAGTGTCTTGTTAATGATGCTTTGAAAATTTAACCATAGTCCTTGAAAAGATTCAGATCAAGAGAATCGGCTTCTAATTCTCAAATGAGCATTAAGAAATTGAAATAGAAAAGAGCAAGCTTCAAACATTTCTGTTGTAATGTAATACTTCAGCTTAGTTTGTTTATTAAGTGAACTTTAGAATATTTTGAATAATTTATTAGCAATAAAACTTTTGGTCACTTTATTTTAAGATACAACTGTTACCATTAACATATTTAATAAACATATTAATTAAATAAGACTTTTAACTCAATAAACTTTTAATTTCCTGCTTATTAATCGTTCATACTTAAAAGTGTTACCATACTTTCTTTTTTTAAACTTTTTCTAAATCACAAAGCTTATCAACACGCATGCACGCGCACGAACAAACACACACATTTCTTTATAAAAAATGCCAGTTTCACTTCAAGATTTACTACCCTTTTTGGCATTAAGAAAAGAAAAAAAAAACAACCGTCAAGATTTAATGTAGAGGCCTCCTATTTTTTGCCTTATGTACTATGCATTTTTAGGACTTTCTTGAAATATATGGTACAAAATAATAAAGATAAGTATTTAAGTACATTCACACGATGCAACATGGTTTACCAAGGTTTATTACAATGTAAAAAATGTTGGGTTCCAGACATTCTATAAATGTTGTATTGACTCAAACTGATTAAGTTAACTTGATAATTTTTACTAATTTAAGAGGATTAAACATAAAACAATTAAGTTGTCCCAAAAAATATAACCCTCTACTGCACGCATTATGATAAATCTGTAACAAAAAATATTTGACCGTTTTTGTTTTCTTAAAATGGCTAAACTTGAAGTGCTGTAAAAAATATTTTGGAAAAAAAATCTTTTTTTAAGGTACTTTATGAAATGTTGCCATATGGCAACTTTGAACAGTTGATCTAACTCAGAAATTAAAATTTTTAAAATTTCCTTATAATTAATAATTTTTTGTTTGAAATAATTTAATTGGTGTTGCAGCATTATTAGCTTTAACACAGAACTTTAAAAAAAAAAACACCTTATTCATACTTTCTCTGTCTCTATCAAATGTCCAGTCTGCATCATTCTCATGGTCACTAAAACCCATCTCATTCTCATTTTCATCTACAGGAAGAGGAAGAGCCAGTTCTGTCCTTTTCTTCTTTAACTTACCATAGAACATGGTGGTGCTAGCTAATACTATTCCCTGTATTTATTTCTATTCAAAAGTAGTATTGCCATCAAAACTATATTTTGTTCGTAACGCAAATTCCATTAACATATGAATAATCAACATTATATTACTAGCATTCATGTTGTTATTGTTAAGTTCACAGCTAAGTTCACACCTTGCTAGCTAGCTAACCCATTGCAATATTGCATGTTCCACTATTGCACAGTGTTGCTATTTGGCAACATACACATTTGATTGATTTACTAATTAGATTTTTTTTTAAAAAAGTTGTGAAGTATGTCATCATAACTAACTGGAGGTGATGTTTCAGAATTTTTGGTCCTTTGTTTTTATTGACGTTTACATTTAGCAACTCTGTCAGAAATCTGTTAGTCTGTCAGAAATCGCACTACAGAAAAACACAGCATGTCATTTCACCACTTCACCAAAGCACATCATTGGCTATATATATATATATATATATATATATATATTATATATATATATATATGTATGTGTGTGTGTGTGTGTGTGTGTGTGTATATATGTTGGTCTTAAAGAAACAGTTGCAGTGAAATGAACATAAGTATCATGTTGCCATATGGTTATGCCGTGCAGTAGAGGGTTAAGAATTGTGTTGTTTCTACTCATTTTGAATACACAGTTTGAACAAAAGCCATTTTTTGAGTGTAGTACATGCACATTATTTAACAGACAAGGTCAGTGTGTTTAAATCACATTGTTGTTGTGATGATTACCTGTGATAATACTCAATTGTTTGTTGTTCACTTTATTCTTCTTCTGCTGCTTCTGTGTTTTTAAATTTATACATTTCCAGAACTTTCCACTCTCATCTGGGATTTTATTGAATTGCTCTCTCTCATGTTACTCTAATTTTTTTTTTTTTTTTGAGTCCCAGCTGGGACTCAAACCTGCGACCTTCTTGCTATGAGTCAACAGTGCTAACCACTGAATCACCGTGTCACCCCCATGTTATGTAAATCTTAAATTAAGCTGAAAGTCAAATAATTTACTCACTCTGTGGCCCTTTAAGCCTGGGGGCCCCGGTGTCCCTGGAAATCCTCTTCCTCCCTGAGCACAGATGTTAGTGAGCCATTAATGCAAATTCAAACAACACCACCTACTAGTAAAAGCTGCAGTTGAAGAATGACGGTTATTACCGGAGATCCAGGGAATCCCATTTCTCCTGCACTTCCTGGAGTACCTGCTTCTCCCTATTACAACATAAAACTTTCAGATTTTAGATCCCATGTAAACTTTCCACATTATTGTGTATATGTTTATGATGTACTCACATCTTCACCAGGCTTTCCCGGAGGACCCTCTGGTCCCCTCTGCCCAGCGCCACCCTATACAGTACAAAACATTAAACTCTTTTAGTAATAAAAACAGTGCATTTCCACCTGAATCAATTTTGAAAAGAGATAGGTGAAAGAGGAAATTATTATAACAGCAGCATTGATGCGGGTATTTCAGCTGTTAGTCAGTTTCATGACAAAACTCATCCATGCTCTAACAGTGCTGTTAATTTCTAAACAATACAGAAAGTATAGTAAGTAGCTTTAGTTGGAATCTGCTGAGAATCACTACAGATGGCTTGTGTATCTCATAATGTGTGAGCTTTCTTACTATACGTCACACATACAGTTGAAGTCAGAATTATTAGCCCCCCTGAATTATTAGCCCTTGTTTTGTTTTGTTTTTTCCCCAATTTCTGTTTAACGGAGAGATGTTTTAACACATTTCTAAACAATATAGTTTTAATAACTCATTTCTAATAACAGATTTCTTTTATTTTCGCTATGATGACAGTAATTAATAATTGAGTAGATATTTTTAAGACACTTCTATACACCTTAAATTGACATTTAAAGGCTTAACTGGGTTAATTAGGTTAACTAGGCAGGTGAAGATAAATAGGCAAGTTATTGTATAATGATGGTTTGTTTTGTAGACTATCAGTCTACAAACATTATCAGACATACTGTGAAAATTTTCCTGCTCTGTTAAACATCATTTGGGAAATATTTAAAAAATAAATTCAAATGGGTGCTAATAATTCCGACTTCAACTGTATATATTTTTTACAAAAAACTTCAGTTTCTAACTAAAGCTTCAAGTTCTAGTTCATACCTGACAACTTACACCAGTGAATGATGGGAAAAGAATTGTAAGTACATGTATAAAACCACTAGAGCCATTTCTTTTCTTTGAAAATGTGAGCAGCCAGAGTTGTGGTTTGCCTTAATAAATGAGCCATGAAAATTGCCTCCAACAACCAGCAGTTTTTGAGTTCATCCTGGCTGATGTTTGCTTTGAAATAAAGTGTGTGGCAGACTAGGCTAGTAAATGATGAAGTGTTCAGAGCAGACAGTGTAGACACTTAATGATGTTCTCTCACCATTGGCCCTGGATCTCCTACATCACCAGGAGGTCCTTGTGGTCCAGAAGGTCCCTAAAGAAAATTGTATAAACTTAAAAAATGCTACTGTAAGCATTCATTTTTGTTCTATCTGATAAAGCAGAGTATGTGTAACAAAGACTTTTTTATGTAATAAACACTTACTGGTGACCCATTCGGCCCAGGTGGTCCCCTTGTTCCTGCTTCTCCCTATTGAAAAATAGCTTTGTTACAGTTTTTTTAGACTAAACATGGTTTAACCATGATTGAGTGGTAGCTGTACGTTTTTGTTCATAGTATCTGGGGTAAAGCAATTTTTAAAACTCAACTGAAAACATATCTTGCACCATTTGTTAAAGTATATTGAAGGTATACATTATTTGGCAACATATGTGATACACTTATTTTTCCCAATCACTAACAAATTTTAGAAAAAAAAAAATACACATGTGGATGATGAAAATATAGTAGTGTATGTGTGTAGAAGTGCATGTGACCACTAACAGCCTTACTTTTACACTCTATTGTTTCTGCACTACTTAGTTTGTCCACAAGGTGTCAACACTAAACTTGGCCATTGTTTTACAGCACAACAGTAAACAACAGTTTCTTTTTAATAATACCAACATTACTACTGAAGATGGCAATAATAGTTAATGCTGTATTTGTGGACAAATTATTCGTTTTTATCAAAAGTATTTGGTCACAAATATAACTTGACAGGCCTAAACATTTTAAAAAACATTTTGAAATTGCATAGAATTATGTATGAGTACACAATTTGATTTCTTAAACAAGCAAGCGTTAATATATATAAAAGTTAATTTGTGTTGTTTTTCTTGTCTTGTTTCTAATTACAGAATCTCTACTCACCCGAACACCGGGCATTAGTGCCTGGGGTCCCATTTTGTCAGCAAATCCTCCAGCCATATGTGAAGCCAACTCACCCTAAGGAACAGACAACGTGGCACTTCAGTCATTTGTTGAAATAATCACTTTATTGGATCTGCTACACTTTGTTATGTTATTAAATAGTCTTGTTATGTCTAGTGTAACACCCGTCTCTTTATATGCAAATTTTATTTAATAATGAAGCTAATCTGTCTGGTCATACTCACTCCGGGAGGAGGTCCTGGAGGTCCTGGCTCTCCTGGGTGTCCTGGAATACCAGGCTCTCCATCATAACCAGGGGGACCTCTAAGACCCTTAAAGAGATGTTTATGTCAGGCTAATATAATACACATAAAATAGTATGACAAAAAGTTTCACAATTTTATTCATGTTTAAAAATGATTTTGTAGTTTCTTACAGGTCGACCTTTGGGTCCGCTGTCTCCTCTAAACCCTGGTGCTCCTGGAGGCCCCTATAAAATCCAAAAACATAATTTAAATAAATAAAATATACAACAAAATAAGCATAATAGTATATAAAATACAAAAAATACAAGATAAAATATAGCTAAACTACTTAAAAAGCAATTTATATGCAAATATAAATAACCAGTTATTAAGGCCAGGTGTCAAATGCCAACCAGAAAAATGAGTTGATTTAAATGAGAACATGGAAGAGGCAAATCATTCTGGAGTCTAGGACCTCTAAGCTTAGCTTTGTTTTTGGGACAATCAGGAGAAGCTGATCAGCTGACCTGAGAGAACGAGTGGGCTTATAGGGATGTATCAGCTTAGAGGTATAAGGTGGGGCAAGACCATTTAGAGACCTAAAAACAATTAAAGTAACTTAAACTGTATTTTAAAATGAACTGGCAACCAATGAAGCAAAGCAGGGAACACAGGGAAAATGTGGTCATATTTGCGCGTACCAGTTAAAAGACATGCTGCTGCATATTTAAATGGGCAATAGCTGACCTGCTACTCTTCACATACAGTCCCACACAAAAAGAACCTTTATAAACATAAATGTTTCAATATAGGTCTTTACTATATGTGACATCTATCAAATTGGCTGTTTTCCTATAACATATGTACATATATGCACATATATGTACACATATATGTACATATTTGTGTGCATATGCACATATGTTCACCTATATGTTCAATTATTGAAATCCATGGCTGCTAGACAACATAAATAAAATAAATTTAAATTCATTAACTTAAGAACAATCAGCTGGTGTGTGGTGTGCGGTCTGGAGCAAAATGGCTGCCGTCGCATCATCCAGGTGAATGTTGTATACTTTTGGTGGATGAGGAGATTCCCCCCTATGTGTAAAGCGCTTTGATCGTTCAAAAAAGCGCTATACAAATGTAAGAAATTATTATTATTATTATTATTATTATTATATACTGCACATATGTTTCATATATGCACATACATCCTCATATAGGTTCTTTCCATGTGGGGTGCATTACAGTAATCTAACTGGGTGATCACAAAAGCATGGATTACTGTCTTAAACTGTTGTCTTGGCATATATATATTGCTTTATTTTTGCCAGTTGTCTTATTTGAAAAAAAACCTAAATTAATTGCCGTTCTAATATGACTATCAAATTTAAAATCTGACTCAAATTTCACTCCTAAATTTGTGCCAGTAGGTTTAATATGCTGAGCTAGTGTACCCAAATTGAATAGAGGAGTCCCAACAGTACCTATATTACTGCTTAAGTCACGGCACGTTGTTGTCAAAGTCAAGATTGCTGTTAAGATGAGTTATGAATTGTCAGTGCAGAAAGATTTTTTTTTTTTTCAAAATAAAATCAATAGAAAACCTCAAAGGGATAGCTTTTCAAAACTGAAAATTAATCATGACAAAATCATTTTTAACTTGTCACAACCCTGACAGATTTTTTTAAGTTTAATACAAAGTAAGATAATTCACAAAATGTTGAAAACTGGTAACCATTGACTTCCATAGGATTTGTTTTTCCTGCTACGAATACCAATGGTTCCCATTTTCCAACTTTCTTCAAAATATCTTCCTTGGTGTTCAACATAAAGAGAAACACATAGAGGATTGGAACTAATCAAAAGTCAATGGATGCTAAGTAAATGTTCATTCTCGGGTGAACTATCCCTAAGAAAATACATATAAATGTGTTCTATCACCATCTAGTGTCCAGATATCAGAAAATATAACTACTTTATGCATGTGACAGAAACTCAACAGGCCACAGGATTTATAATTTTATCATATGTAATTGAATCATTTAGATTGATTTATACTGACCAGGATTCAATAAAAGTCAGTCAAACACTCACCATTGGTCCAGGACGACCTCTTATTCCAACGATCTGAAATCAAGACAGAATTATTATTTTACAATTTATGCAAAATTATTATATATCCATATTTTGTACAATTTAGATAAATAATAATTTTAACACACATGTGGTACAACTCCAGGTTCCCCTTTCTGGCCCTGAAATAAAGAAACAAAGCAAAAAAAAAAAAAAGTGAACAGAAATGTTTCTTTTCTTTACTTATTTACAGTACTTTGAAATAAGAGACAGTTAACAGTGCTGATTGTGACATAGCTTACCTTGGCGATTCTGCCTCCTGACAAGAAGAAACATAACAGACAAAAACTTAAAATTCACACCACTGCAGATTTACATGATGATTAAAACCAAATTTTCATCTGTTTTGAAGGTTTATTCTGGTGCAGTCTCACCTGGTCTGCCATTGCCACCTTCAGCTGCATCGCCCTGGCAGACCGGACAGCACTCTCCCGGTGGGATCACTACCTTTGCACAGTTCGACACCTCATCACATTGTACCTCATCGCACAGGATGGTTCCACTGTCACAAACACAGATCCTGCATGGCTCAGGTTTCCAGATGTCTCTGTTTGTGTACACCTGCCCGTTCTCTGTACAGCTCAACTCATCCTCTGAGGGAAAAAAGGTAAAACACTATGTAAATAATTCACACATGCACACAGAGAGAGAGATTATATGGCAAACTGTTAATAATGAGAATTATGTGGTGACGTTAGCTCTTTTGCTTTGTTCTGTCATTTTAAATGTTTAAGAATCTTTCATATAAATGGTATGAAACTTGATGACTTTTGTAATAATTTGCAAAATTACATGAACCTCACATGTGCAATCATACATAAAATGTTTTAGAACATTTCCATGTGATTGAAATTGTGATCAATATTTTTTATTTTTTATTCCTAATTTAATGTAATTCACATCAATGCTTGTTTCACTGTATATATATATATATAATGTTTTTATAGAAATCATTCATTCGCTTATTTTTCTTCAGCTTATTTATCAGGAGTCGCCACAGTGTAATGAACTGACAACTTATCTAGCATTCACAGTGGATGCCCTTCTAGGTGCAACCCAGTACTAGGAAACATCCATACACACTCATTCACACACGTACCCTACGGCCAATAGTTTATTCAGTTTACCTAAAGCGCATGTCTTTGGACTGTGGGGGAAGCCGGAGCACCAGGAGTAAACCCACACGAACACGGAGAGAATGTGCAAACTTCACACAGAAATGCCAACTGACCCAGCCAGGACTCAAACCAGTGACCTTCTTGCTGTAAGGTGGCAGTGCTAACCACTGAGCCACCCTGTTACCCTTTTAGAAATCAGTAGTCCATAATTAAGATATTAATATGTTTAGTAACTTAAACTGAATAAATAACTGAACTAAACTGAACTTCAAATCTGAAAACTGTTTCAACTGTTTCAATCTTCTATGTGAAGCTGCTTAGACACAATCCACATTGTAAAAGCGCTATAGAAATAAAGTTGAGTTCAATTGAAAATAGTACATTAATTCCATAATTTACTGTACTTAGTCTCCAGCCAGACGGGCATCTGCTGCATAAAACATATGCTGGAATAGTTGGCGGTTCATTCCACTGTGGTGACCCAAAGGAAAATGAATGAATGAATGAATGAATGAATATATGAGTCTGCAGCTAGTTTTTTTCACCTCAAACAAAACAGGTGTGACTCTTAAATAAAAAAAATACCAGATGATTTATTAACTTAAACATGTATTATTATAGGGTGTTTCCCAGGGATGGGTTGCAGCTGCAGTTTATTTTATTTTTTAAAAAAGTGATAACTTGTTTTTAAAAGTTACATCTCTTTTTTACCAATTTAACTACAGCACAACTTTCCAAATGTTGATTGTTAAAATGCTTCAAATCTCTCTGGAAATGGAGTATCTACTATTTTAAAATAGAAAAAGATACTGCTTGAGTCACTCGATTAAGAGTGTCATGGAATCAGTCCAGTATGCCAGACATTCAGAAGTGTAAAAGCCGTGGTGTACCCTGAGAAACTGTCTAGGAATTACTGGAAAAGGTGATCCCTTGTCTTTTAGAATGGGTCTTTTGGGAAGACATGAGCTAATGCTCTCCAGGAAGTCTGATTCACTGTTTCCAGCAGGCCTTGCTGTAGTCTGCTATTCGCTTAAAATTAAAATACAGTTAAATATTCATAGTAAACTTTCTTTTTTACAAGTCATCATAAAGCAGAGTATTGAACAGATGTGGGAACCATTAATTGTTCACCATCATGTAAACAATTTGCATCTATGGCACCGATACACCAGGTGGCAGCCTTGCGCTTCTTTTAGCTACTATCAGTAAAACCTTGTGAAACGTGTGCTCACCTGAAATCATCAACCTAAGGATGTTTTCCCCACTAATAAGTAAGTGCTACGTTTTACAACCTACAAACTTGCATCAAAGTAGGCTCAGAGTAGCCCCAGTACCTGTACATTTGAAATGTTCATCACGTATTAATTCTGGGATGCAGATCAAATGTGACTACACCTTATAGCCCAAGGGAAATGAATTTGTGCATTACAAAGTGTGCGCACCAGTCAAGCTAATGAATAAAAACAGCATACATGAATCAAACGGATGCATTTGGGAGGTGTTGCGTGGAAGTTGATTATATATATATATATATATATACACACACACACACACATATATATATATATATATATATATATATATATATTTTTTTTTTTTTTTTTTTTTTTTTACCTAAGGGAGTATTTCAGTATAGCAAAGATATTTTTTCTCGAACACATAGCTTTTCACAAGACAACACATTAAGGTAAAGTTGGTTTTATAGTCACACATTAGTTCAGTGACAACTTCTGATGCTCCCTATATTGTTTACCATGGTTTTATATAGTCTCTGAATTGAAATCACACAGCGTTAAAGTCAGAATTATTAGCCCCCCTATTAATTTTTTTTTTTTTTTTTTTTTTTTATACATTTCCCAAATTATGTTTAACAGAGCAAGGAAATGTTCACAGTATGTCTGATATTATTTTTTTGGTCCCACTTTATATTAAGTGGCCTTAACTAATATGTACTTACATAGGATTTAATAGTTTGTTACAATGTACTTATTGTGTGAATACATGTATTTATTGTGTACTTATGCTTGATTAAATACCTGTATGTAATTACATCTGTAATTAACTTTTGTTATTACATTTGTAAATACACTGTTGACCATCCCTTACACCTTAACCCACCCTTAAACCTACCCATGCCACCAAACCTGTCCATAACCCAACCTCTATCCCAACTCAAAAGCACCACAAGTGTTCTCAAATACTTTATAAAGACAGTAAGTACATTGTATTTATTTTTTGATGTAAGTACATAGTAATTAAGGACACTTAATATAAAGTGGGACCATTTTTTTCTTCTGGAGAAAGTCTTATTTGTTTTATTTCAGTTAGAATAAAAGCAGTTTATATATTTTTAAAAAAAATATTCAGGTCAAAATTATTAGTCCTTTTAAGCTATAATTTTTTTCGATAGTCTACAGAACAAACCATCGTTACAATAACTTGCCTAATTACCCTAAGTTGTCAAGTTAACCTAATTAACCTAGTTACGCCTTTAAATTTCACTGTAAGCTGTATAGAAGTGTCTTGAAAAATATCTAGTCAAATATTATTTACTGTCATCATGGCGAAGATGAAATAAATCAGTTATTAGAAATGATTTATTAATACTATTGTGATTAGAAATGTGTTGAAAAAGTCTTTCTGTTAAACAGATATTGTGTAAAAAAATAAACGGGGCTGATAATTCTGCCTTCAACTGTATAAGTATGACTTCAAAACAATAGCACTATTTGTTTGACTGTGAACAATGTTGGCTGCTAATATGATTTCGCTTTTTGGAGTTTGCTAATATTATTTTTGTGAAATTATATTCTTAAAGAGAGAGTGGGAATGAGTGAATATAACTTTACCCTAGTAGACAATACAACAGTCAGCTTGCAAATGTATTTTTAACTTATATTTAAAACATACAGTATGCACAACTATAGCGGAAAAAAAAAATAGGAGACTACTTGAAATCTTTGGTTTCTGATTTATAGTTATGTTTGAAAATCTACAACTTTTTTTATTTTTATTTTAATTTGTAAACCACCGGATAAATTTCTTCCCAATTGAACATAAAAAATCTCTACCCCCTTATTTCTTGCAAAAGACAACACAAGAAGGTGCTTTGTTTTCAATTTGTTTATATTGATTTTTACATAATTCACTCATACAGAAAAAAATCTCATGGCCATATACATTTGCACTTCAGTGTTATACTTTCAGCAGTGAAATTTCAACCACACTGAACTGAACTCTGAAAACTGGACTACTAGAACTTTTATCTTAAGCGGGTTTGACACAATCTACATTGTAAAATCTTTATATAAATGAACATGAATTTAATTGATTATACAGTAGAACATATAAACATAGAACATATGGAAAAGTATAGCGTATATTGAAACATGGTTGAAAAAACTTAGATGCAAAGGGCCAATTTTGCTATATTTTACAACATATATATTCTGGATGGGTAATGCCAGTGTTTTAATCAAATAGATTTCAGTCAATTAGAATGAACAACTTAAAATAAAACAAATATTAACAGTTTACTCAAACCCATACAGGAACATGACAAATCCAGTAAATCTAGATAATGTTCAGATGGCCTATTATTCCTCATACATGTTGTATAAGAACAGTTCAGTTTGTTTTCAGTATTTTCTCTTGCTTGTTAAGAATGTTTTGTGAGGATCAAACAACATGAGGAATTGCTGAATGTATTGAACATGACCAGCAGAATTGATTTTCATATATATTCCTGTAAGACTGGGTAATATGGCAAAAATGCAATCTCGATAATTATTTTCCATATTGAACAATATATATTATGATATAAGTTGTTAATGCTTCCAGATTTAGAAGAGTATATAACTTAACAATGACTGAAGCCTCAAAAATTAAAGAGCTCATTAAATGGCATGACGTATTTTCAGCCAATAAATTTTCCATGGCCAAAAATTCAGTACATCTCTAATATCAACACACTTTTTGATGCCTATTGTTGTACATTTCTGCAGTGTTGTTAGTTCTTACATCAATATAGAGTAAAAAATTCTGGAGCGTATCATTGCTATTGCCATAAATTTTATCACGATTCGATATGACATTGTTTATCGGCCTAGCCAAATATTCCTGTTTAAAAGCTACTTAAAGAACAGTTTCTCAATTTGCCTTTTCCCTCCATAAACCTAAAATGTTGACCAGTTTTGTCTAAAACACTGATCGATATTACCGTGTTGTTTAGAGATCTGTTGCAAAAACAGTAAGACTTGAATTCAGGTTGTCATTGTGAAGAGTTGCAGCATCATAAAGCAGTATTACAAATGTTTTCATTGCCGCGGTCAGTGATATTCATCATAATTCCCTGAAAACAAATAAGCCTACAACACCTATGCAAAAAAGCAGATATAGTGCAGATAAAATACACATCTAAGGTAGGACTGTGCAATTATTTGAAAACTTCGTTTCAATATTGGCTTCTAACGGTT